CTAGCTAGCCGTAATATTTAGTTAGTAATATAATTCTTAAATTCTTTTTAATTAATACAGTTAGTAATAGTATTATTAATATTTTTATGTTAATAAAATTAAATCTTTTAATAACTTTTTTAATATATTAATTATAAGTAAAATAAATTTTTTAGTTTAGTTAATTTTGAATAACTTTAATACTTAGATATTATAAAACTAATCCTTAGTTTTTTAATTTATATTTTTTTAAGCCCCTTAGTTACTTAACTAGCTTTATAAACGTAATCTTTATAAAATAATATAAAAATATTATTTATATAAAAAAAAACTAGGACCTTTTTATTTTAAGCTTAAAATAAATATAAGTCTTTATTTATAAGTATAAATTTAAAGGATTTTAAAATTATTAAGAGTTTTTTATATTAAAGTAAAAAAGCATTACGGGTATTATAAAAGGCTTATTTAAGTTTAATATACTTATTTAGCTATTTAAAATTATTTAGGAGCTTATATATAATAAAAAAGTTACTTAGTTTTTATATTATATTTAGAAACGTATTTATAATATTGTACTAATAGATTTCTAAATTAAATTAAATAGTAATAATTATTATTATTTTAAAAATCTTAGTAATAAGAATAGCTATATATATTCTTTTTAAGAGGTATTATTTTTAAAAATTATTCTTAACGTATATTTTTATTTTATAGCGATCGAGGTAATAGTCCTTATTAAATTTATAATTAAATATTTATTTAAATAGTATTAGTTTTTTTTAAACCGTTACTCGGCTAATAACTTTTTAAGTATTTATTTTTTTTAGCTTTTTAATTTTTATATAAATAACTTTAATAAAATAAGTTTTAAAGAGCTTAAGTATTTTAAGAACGTTTTTTTATATTTTAAAAAAAGAAATAAAGTTATTTATATATATCTTATTACTAAGAAATATAATTAATAAAACGTACTTCGTTTTACTAATTATAATATAAATATAATAATAAAGCGTTTAATACCCCTAGGTCGCTTTATTAATCGCTTTTTATTAATTAAGTATATATATATTAAAAAAAATATCCTAATCTTATTCTATATAAAATAAAAACGAGTATTACCTAAATTGCTTTTTATAACTTAGGTTTTAAATAACTATTTTTAATAACTAATTTTTTAATTTTTAGTTTTATTTAATATATTTATTATTTTTATAGTTATTAAAATTGGCTATTTTAGAATTTTTAATTAGTTCGTTTACTTCTCTTATTTTTTAATATAAGCTCGTTAACTAAATAAGATTATTAAGGTTTAATTAAATAAAAAAGTCCTTTTTATAAGAGTTTAAAAAAGTTATTTTTTTTATTTATATATATATTATATCCTTAACCCTTTTTATAAAAAAGTTAGTTTTTTTTATAACTTTATTTATAATTTTAATTAATTATATAAGGGCTAGGCCTAATTTTAGATTTTAAAAATTAAAAATTAGCTTAGGGGTAAGTAATTACTTACTTCGTTTACTTAAAAATAAACTAAACTTTTTTATAATTTAGTTTACTTTTTATAAAATAAGTATAAGTAATAATAAGTACTCTTAATTTATTATTAATAAGGCCTCTTTTTTATTTATAACTTTAAATAATTAAAACTTAAAATTAATAATTATAAGTAGTTATTAAATTTTATTTACTACGGATTTTAATTTAGGTAATTAAATTATAGCCTTTATATCGTTTTTAAAATAAAAAACGGTCTTATTAAATATTATATTATATATAATAATAATTTTTAAGAACGAAGAGATTTAAATTTTATATATATTATAAATATTTATTACGTATTTTACGAAATATTTAATATACTCCCTCTACTCTATTTTAAAACGTTTTTTATTAATTCCTTTTTTATAATCTCTTTTTAAAAAGTATATTTAGTAATTATATATATATATTTACCCTTAATAAGGACATAAATCGCGGGCGAGCCTCGGTATATTTATTAATTATTATTACTTAAAATAATAATTAAATTAAACTTTTTTAATTTAAATTAGTAAGAACTAGTTAATATATTATTTAAAACTAATATTATATAAATAAGTTATTATTAATATAGTTTTTATTTATAAGTCGTTTAGTAGCTTAGTTATAAATATTATATTAATCGCTTTATTTATAATTTCTTAATTAGTTCGCTCCCTACTTTTATTTAGTTTTTTTATATATAAAAGAGTAATTTTTAATTTAATTCTAAACTCCTTTATTTAAATTTAAAAACGAGTTTTATTATTAATTATAATTATTATACGTTCTATATCTTATTAGATTTTATAGATAATAAAACTTTTTTAAATATATACTTATTACTTAAATAAGTATAAAACTTTAAATATTATATTATAAGTCTTTATAATTCTTAAAAAAATAAAAATCTTATTTAAATACTCGTTTTTAATTAATATAAACTACTTATTTTATTTATATATAAATAAGTAATTAAAAAAGTCTTAAATAATTTTAAAATATAGCTTAGTTACTTTTTATTTTAAAATATATTTTAAAATAACTTGTTTTATATAAATAATTATATAATATTAATATTTTAAGTAACTTAGTTTTTTAATTTTTACTTCCTAAGTAGTTAATACGAGTTTTTTAAGTACTATTAATATAAAATATTTAAACTAAAAGTATTAAAGCTATATTAAATTTATTTATTTACCCCTTAGTTAATATAAGGAATAAAATATATATTAATTATAAATAAAAATTATATTTATTAATAAAAAGAGATTTCTAAGTAGTAAATAGGACGAATAGGGCTTATATTCTAAAAAAGCTAAGTTAACTTTTTTAATAAACTATTTATTATGACGTTTTTAAATAAGTTATTAAAATAAAAAATATAATTAAAACTAAAGTATTAAATACCCGTTTTTTAAAATAGGGCTTTTAATATAACGTTAATATAAAAATTTTTAATAAAGCTAATATTATAAAAAATTAAGTTTTTAGTTCTAAGTCTTTTTATCCTTATAAAAACGTTTTAAATAATCTTTATTCCGTAAGTAAATATAAAGTAAAACGCCGTTTTAAAATTTATATTCTTAGTTTTATTGTATTATTAAATTAATTTAAGTTCTAAAAGTAATTAGTTATTAATAAAATAAATTATACTGTAATTATTTATAATTATATATTTAAAAAAGAGGTATAAGCTCGTAAAAAGAATAAAAAAAATAATAAAATTAGCGGTTTTATTATTTATTATATTTAATTTTAATAATAGAGCGATATTAATAATTATAATTATAATATTCGAGGAGTAAAACGTTTTAAAATCCTATTTTTTTATTAACTTTCTTAGTTTACTTAGCCTTTTATTTTTATTTTATTTTTATTATTATTAAATTTATTAAGGGCTTTTATTTATATCTATTTTTTTTAAAGTAAAATTAGTATAAAAATTAATATATTTATTAATATTTAAATAATTAATTATTTTATTAATTTTAGTTCTATTTAGTTAAATATATTTTTATTTCGTTTTTTTAATAAGAGCGAACTCTATTTTTATATATTTAATTAGTTTTTAATAATAAGTTTTTTTATAAAAGTAGTTTATAAATAAGTTAGGTTTTACTTTACTTTACTTAGAAAAGTTTAAATAACTTATTAATATTATAAAAATTATAAAGTTTTATTTATAATTTTTATTATATATTACCTCTTTATATAAAAAGTTATTAAATATTTTAATATAATAGCTTATATTAAGTACTACTTCGCCCCTTTATTTTATTTTTATAATATTAATAAGCTCTTAATTAGACTAATTTAAAATAAAATAGTAAGCGGTTATATAAAAAAAATATTTAAAAATAAAAGTCCCTTAGACCTTAAATAACTAAAATTATACTATATAATAATAAACTAAATAAAAATCCTTAATTTAAATAATAAAATTAATATTAGAGTTTATTTTATTTATAATTATATTAAATTCCTCTCGGGTAATTATAAATAAACTTAAGTTACTCGGGGTATATTTTTACTTAAAAACTTTAATTATTATATAAAATAAGTAATTAAGTAAATTAATAAGTTCTTTTTTTATATTTCTTAAGATATTTTAAGTAACGGAGTTAGTAATTTAGCGGTTTATTAATTTATATAATTTTTTTTTATAATTAAGAGATTGTTTTAAATATTATTTATTAAATAAAAGAGGTATATTTTTAAAAAAAATATACTTAATTAATTATAATTAGCTTAGGCCTTATAAAAAGAAAAAGCTATTTTATAAAGCTATTTTATTATATTAAATCGTCCTTAATATCGTTTTTTAGGGCTTTTTATTAAGTATAATAATTAAATTATTAGTTATATTTAGTTATAACCATTTTATAAGCTTATTTTTAAGTAGTATTTTATATTTTAATATATTCTTTAATAAATAAAATAAATTTAATAAAAAATAAAGGATTTAAAAATAATTTTATATTATTTAAATTAAGTAGGTCTTAAACGTTTTTTAAGCGGGCTTTTATTTATAAAATAAAGTATTATTTTAGTTAGTTTTATTAATAATTAAGCTTATACCTAATTACTTTAAAAACCTTTTTAAAAAATATAATTATTTAAAAATAGGTTTTATAAATATAATAAGAATTAAAATTTAATATAAAGAAAATATAATAAATTATAGTTCTTAAAAAAATAACTTTTTAATAGAAGTTTAGTAATTTAAATTAAAACTAAGCTTATAATTATTATATAATTATAAATAGGGGTATTAATATTAAATATAAAGAATAAGTATTTATTAAAAATAAGAAATAGGTACGAGGTTCGCCTTAAAATAAAAAGTATAAGTAAGTATAGACCTTAAGTAATTATATAACTGAGGTTACGTGATATGTAGTAAGGCTATAAATAGTTAAAGCCATCACGACAGAAGACAAGTTACTATCAACTCAGAGCAATATTGGCTATAGCTGAGGTAGTCAAATCATTTAAAACTACTCTCTTTGCTCAGTCGCCGGCTGGTTATCTAGCACCCACCTTACTCCATCAACAACGATCTCTGGCTGCGTCATCTGCACGAAATGCCCACTCTCCTTCGCAAACACAATATCACTCTTTCTAGAGAGCTTCAAAAACTCCCTCATGAGCTTCTCAGTTTTCGCATCAACGCCCTCAATCATATCTCTCACGTGCTTCCTCTCCTCCTCCGTCCCATTCCCCTTCGCGACGCCCACAGCGTAAAGCCCGCTCCAGTCCCTGCTCCGCGTGCCCACAATCACACACACTGGCTTGTCCCCAAGAAGCGGCTGCTTCTTTGCCAGGCCCTTACTCCTAAGCGTCTCGAAACTTTGCGCGTAACCCTCGAAATCCTCTCGTTGTGCAATCAGCTTGTGTTTCTCTGTGGCCTCCTCCGCGATAAAGGCGTCCCATTCTTCTTTTGTGAGCTTATGTGACGTCGTCAGTCCCCAGCCGTCGTATGTTTTGACTCCGGCGGCAATCTTTTTCCAGAGGATGGGGTCGTTGACATCTAGCACGAGCGGCGCCGTCTCATGGTTCGCGTCCACAAGGACCAGACCCGCGACCTGCTTGATGCCTTTGAGGGCAAAGTATTCGTGCGTGAGCACACCAGCCCAAGAGTGGCCCACGAGAATGAGTGGGTTAGGTATGGGAGCGTGTTCAATGAGGAGGGCGAGTTCTTGGGCGATGTTCTCGGCTGTTGGTGGGTTGGGTGAGGGGTCCGAGTGGCGGTTGCCGGAGCGGTCGTACATGTAGCTCCGCAACTGGGAGGGGCCGAGAAGTCGTACTACGGCTTGCCAGTTGAGAGCATCGCTGGCCACACCGGAGACAAAGAGCACGACGGGTTCGGCGGGACTGCTTGGGTCTGGACCGTGAGCGTAGATGGCTAGGGAGTGGGTGCCGATATTGACTAGGCGGCCGTTTGGGGGGAGGGGGGAGGCCATTGCTGTAGAGTTGACGCGAGACGTCTAGGTAGGTTATATAACTCAACAACTCGCGGACGTGCTAAAGCTTTGGAAACCACGGTTGGAAAGTATGTGTGGGATCAAATGTTTGAAAAACGCAAGTTGGTATTTGTAGTAAAGATATTCAAGACAACGAAGAATGATGAAACGGCTTTGTAATATCACCAATCAGCGCCCTTCTGAATACACGTGAAGCTACGCTGTTCTGCACGGCCCACCATTGCTTACATTCGTAATTTCGTGCTTACTTCTTCCTGTTAGCGACCTCCTTTACCTGCCAAACCTCCACGCCCGAGATCGCGCAATCTTGTGGCATAGCTTAATCTGGTCAGTCCTTTCAAGTCATGCCTAGACGAGCTATTATGGAATCATCCCGTCCACGAAGCAAAAAGCATAGGATCCATACAGCCATCATAATGCGTCGTCTCTGAGCCAGTGGTGCTAGGATTCCAGGCTCCGCTAGCAACGTCAACCAGAAAGGATGATGCGACCTCAACATCAGCAAAGGGTCTTTTGTTGGCCCTGCGGGCGTTCTCGGGTGAATGTCGGCCTCCATTACCACGACAAGTGGGCGAGTCTCCAGCAATCTCGCTGCGGCGTCGAACTAGCAATTTCTCAATGATTTCTCTGCTTCTTTTGGCCCCAGACCACCGGGGCTCTAGGTCTTTGAGCGATCGGGCACACTTCTCAGCATCTTCCAGAAGAGCTGGGTTGCTGCGATCGATAGGCACTCGAAGACTGCAATTGAAGCCTTGTAAGCATTTACGGCCAATATGACAGGGATAAATATCACATTTAGGCTCCAACTTACAGGATGATACCCGACAGCGTAAGATAGTGAATACATAGAGCCAGATGGTGTGAAGCTGGCACCAAGTCTCGAACCATATCAGCGACATAGATACAGCCTCGTGCAGCATTAATGCATTGATCTATGGCTCCCGAGACGTCCACTTCGTCTCGTTCTGCCGAGTCTTTGGGATAGTTCAGGAAATATCTGCAGTCTATCAACAATGTCGTTCTACTATCACATATCAGGAAGTCGTTTCACCTACCGGTACAAGTTGATAAGAGATCCTGCGTGTAAGAAAAAGGTGATAACACAATGGACCATAGATATATCGCCATGGCTCTTGTTCTTTCTGTTTGCTGAAAATTGGATGTCGCCCGGCAAACTCTCGAGCCATTTTCGAAGAGCCTGATCATGAGAATCAACCCGAGCCAAGAATCTATGGGTTTTTTCTGCATCCGCAGAGGCGATCTTCCGTAGTTTCAGGGGAGAGCTGAACTCTTGGATCTTGCCTGCCAGCTGGCAGAGTTTAGCAAACGCTAAGAAGCCGCTCATGGGGCTCGTTGTGGCTTCTTGGTTGACAGCGTGTCGGCTCTTGATCCCGGACATTACATCCTCATCGCGTACGTCCAATGGCAGCTCGCAGTAGCAGTCTTCATCTTTTACCGCGAGAGGACGGCCAAGGCAAATCGATGTTGTTCTGCAAAGAGTCGCGGGTTATCAGCCGAGGACCAGGCGTTACTAGGGTGTAATGAGACTAGAGTTACAGTACCTGTCCAGCGTGTATACACACCACCACACTCTCCGAGACTGCTCCTGGAGAGATAAATCCTTAGGTCTCATACAGAGAGGTGACTGCTGATTTACGAAAGCGTTCTTTCCAATCAGCAGACTACCGAGAAACAAACGGAAAGGAAGTCTCACGGAGTGACCACTAACATGTAGCCCCATGTCGATTGCCGCCCTCACGGCTTGTCCAGCTAAATTCCAACTTTGTGATAGCGTATTCCACCCTGCCGAGCACATCGACAAGAGTGCAAGACATTGAACTTTCTCTATGTAGGACTCTCCAGTTGATGCAGACGAGATGAGAAGGGCCTTTTGGTAAAAATCGATACCGGGTAGCCCGCTCTCCGAGTTAGACGGTAATAGCCCTGACGCACACGCACACACGGCGAAGAAAACCATAAGAAACCTTCCCCTCTTAGGTGAAGAAGAGTCTGGCCCGGCTCTCAGAAGCTTCTGATAACGATTCATAAAGTGAGGCTTGATGAGAATAGGGAATATGTAGTGGAGCTTGTCGAAGTATAGGCTCACAAGCAGGTCAGAGACATATTGCGGCGGGCGAGGCAGGCTTTCCGGTGCAGGTATATACGGAAGAGGAGGCCAGAGTTTTCCATGAACAAATGAAGGTATCTCGAGGTCTGGTATGTTTGGTGTTTCGTGGCTAGCTCCGGTAGAAGAGGGCGTGGTTGTAGCCAAATTCGGCAGGAGGCTTTTCGCGGCCTCAACGATGAGACTGTTCGCTGCACCACCGACAAAGCTAGGGATTTGAATGATCAACTTCAGTTACGTGAAATCCAAGCCCACCAAGTGTAACATACCGTAGACGGCCGTAGGAATCTGGTACCAAGGCACCTGCTTGCCCGAGATCCTCAGCAGTTGATTTGGCCGACCTCAAGGTATCTACAACAGTGCCAGAATCATAATTGTCGTCACCCTCGCTGCCTGATGAAGACGTCGCTGACTCCTCGTCTAATTCACCTGTGTTGTCGTCCAATTCAGCACTCCCTGTGTACAGATTGGGGTCTGCACTCTCCCCTGGTTCCTCATGAGCAGATGTGGTTGCTTGACATAAGAATTTAGCAAGTTCTGGCAAAGATTTCAACAAACCAGCTCCTAAGACACAATCAGAAGGCTGAATCTGGCCTGCTGGCGCAGGGGATTGTTGGCTAAGGACACTGATTGACTGTGATAGCTGCCCAGTGAGCACTTCTAACCGTTGACAGAGTGTGTCCATATGTTGGCATCTTTCTTCAAATGAAGTAACGTAGCTGGTTCACAGTAAGTCTTTGTGTCGGGCACATAAGTAGGTTCGGCTATCCGAGAAGAGGGTCTCTTACTAACGACTGGCAGAAGCATTGTCCTTAGTCCCAGGAAATTCGCATGTCTGGTCACGGGAGCTGCAGTTGTGGCAAGGCCGTTTGCCATCGCATTTTATCTGCACGTATTTCTGTCAGTTTCCTCTCATTTTTATCGAGGAGGTGGCATTCTCTACATGTGTTCCTGTATTGACAGACACACCTTTTTACGACGACAAGCAAGACAAGCTTGCCAGACCCGGCCACCGGCCGCATCGGCGGCTGGTGGGCCGTTCGGCGCGACACCAGTGTCGCCTACATTCCCTCGTGTAGACATAATTTATTGAGTCAGAATCGGAGTTCTTTCGCGATACTCGAGTGGTTGAAAGCAGAATTTAAAACACCCTGCTAAATCTAGAATCGTGTAAGAATCAGCACTTGAGGTCACCGGAGGCCGACCGGAGAGGACCTTATCTGCGATTAACGTAGCGCCGACTCCACATTATTCCGCCATGGTCCACCTTCACTATCTTGCGTGGTATTCATCTTAAGGCTCCTGTTTCTGACTCTCATGCCGTAGGTCAACACTCATTCAGCCAACTCAATACTTAAGGTACTGATACTAGAATGTCAAAGGGGGCTCGCCGTCTTGGCCACGCTCATAGTAATACCACGAAAGCAAGATTTAGCGGCAGGGAAGGAGAAGGCTTCATTGTGGAAGAAAACCCCACTGCGACCACTTGACTGCTAGGTTCCCGCTCATGTACCAAACTACATAGTACAGAGGTCATCGAATGCGTTATGGGAACTATTACTGAGGAACTCTTCTTAAATCGGTCTGATTCAGGATTCTTCCAGGGCCTACAACTGCAACAATGCACTTGAGTCCCTTATCTACGGGGACAGGCACTTTACCAATTGTAGCAGACTTCACCTGTGAACATGGCAATTTTATCTCGTTGTCGACCGTGCACATAATTTATGATGGGCCTTTAGTAACAGAAGTATCCTTGACAAACTATTGATTGCTACGACAAACTGCCAGGTATAGGTTTGAGAATTCTATTGTAAAGTTGAGAAGCACTATGAATATACGTGTCCATACTGAGATCATAATCTCTTGACGGTGAAGGCCGTGTATGAGAATAAAACTGCCTTCTTGGAAAAGGAAGGTTGAAGTTGAGGGATTGTGAAAAGTTGTAGATGTCGCCGTTGCACCTCTTCAGAGGTATCAAGGGAAGCTCAGGAACACTGGGCTATTTCGGTCTACATAGTTTAGAATTCGGCCTCAACATCTGGGTTGGAAGGCGACTTACTACCGAAAGACGTCGTGGAGCTCGGATCATGTACATATTGTGCATCATCTGGACCCGATGAACTCTGTTAGTGAGCAGTCTCGAAATATCATATGACATTATGCCTTACGTGCACATTGTATGTCCCACTTCCAAACTTGTCTCGTAATAAGGAGGTAAGCTTCGCAGGGTTGATATCTCTGGCGGATATGTCCTGGGACAGAGCGGCCCCATCAACGGACTCATCTTCGTCATTCGATGTATTGAGGTGATTTGATGTCTTGCGTTGAGACATGACAAGCTTTCTGACACGAGGTAGGAACTTCTCAGGAATGTAGTTGATCTGAAAACAGTGTGTATGCTGCTAGACGGTTGCGTGGTTTTCGATGAGCCAAACCCTCGAAGGGCCAGACTAATAGATATAACTTGAAAGTACCTCTCCAAAGTAGGCGACATGCAGGTGCGTCTCCGTCATCCTCCGCAGCTGTCAGCCCCCATCACCGGAGTCTTCCATGCCCAGTCAAATGGAAGAATAATTGGGAGAGTTTCCTTTACCAGACCCGATCTGCCTTGGAACCATTTGAAACTGTTGCTGGGTCCGTTGAATGGCCCTCCGTTCTACCATTGGTGGACGCCAAATGTGCAGAAGCGCTACGGTGGCGCCTCGACAGGCTGTATGGAAGAAAAGTTCGTCTTGCTTTTTCCACTTTCTCTCACCGGGCGGTAAGGCTCTGGAGTTGGTGGCTCAGCTGACAGGGTGACAGGCCGGGAGGATCTATTTTCAAAACGAGGTGCCATGGGGGCGGGCTGCACAGCAGGCTGGGCAGCCAACCGACATAATCGTTATGGCAGGGGCATAAGATAGCGCACCCTCCTTTTAAGGCCTTTTGTTCTCATTCATCTATGTTCAGTCACACTGAGACGGCTTTGTTTGGCCTCTTGCAACCTGTCATCATGGAGACGACGAACAACTTCCGGTCACTGCCATCGAGTCCGGGCCTGGATTCGACAAGCCGTACTGATTATGCCCAGGACTTTACCCAGCCTCAACGGTCAAAAAGTTCAAACGACTTAACAACCGCAAATTCTCAATTGCGGAAACTTTCCGTTACCGAAGCGATGATCATCAACGAGAGCACAGCAGTGTATAACGACTCTACCGAGATGGACTTGTCGCAGCAACCCTTTCGGAATCGTTACGATGGGTCTCCAAGCCCATGGCCTGAGAAAGCGAACCAAGACAACACAGCGGTCCATGGGTCTCTAGCCAGCAATGGATATTCATCAATCATTATGGCCGAGCAGATGCGAGGGCTTGGACTTGGCAATGGTAGCCAAGAGCTTCACCCAGTGCCTACTATCATGGAAGAGAGTATATCTGAATTGGTGGTAAGTGAAATGTATGATTGTATACTTTGAGATCAGCAACTAAGCCTCAATGGACAGGACACGCCGTTGTCTACCGACCCCAGAGAATCTAGCCCAGCTCCTGACGCTGCTCTGGCCTCGATCACCGGGCATGGTCTACCACCTACATCGGCCCTGTCTGCTTCCAGCTTGCCCTTAGAACCTAGCGAAGTCATGGACCGCGGAGATCAGATGTATACCAAAGCAATGAGTCAAGGGCTACTTCCTCCATCACCAACTCAGGAGGAATTCCTGACAGACCCATTCGAAGACCGTCTGTTCATGTCCTTCGCCACAAACCCTCAAAATCAAAGACAATTCCTACCAAAAGGACAGCTAAACAACCTCATTCACAAAGCATCGGTAATACGAGAACTAAGGAAGAAAATCCCGCGGATCAAAAAGTACAGCTTGGAAAGATTCGCAAACATGATCTGTGAAAATCCCAACCAGGCCAAGGGACTTTCTGAGCCAGCTTGTGGCAAGTCTTATCAGAAGATTTTCGCAATACTTGTGTTGATCAATATGGTCCCCGCCATCGCAGGATTTCTGGAGGAAGGTATCTGCGACGCAGATCTACCCCTTGTGAAAGCTTCTGAGAAGGGTGGGATATTCGACCTGCGAGTCGAAGCAAGACGCGACTTTCCATTGAAAGCATTCAAGTTCTGGACACGAGTAAACATCAGAAACTTCGAAGAGTACCAATGGACAATCCTCCCGCCATTTTTCACCAAGGGAGAGAGAAAGAACGTAAAGCATTATGTGCTTGAGCCTCATATTGTTCTACCATTCACCTCTACCACTCACGCTGATGAGATGGGGTCGGCCGAGATGCACCGAGGAGGGTTTAGTCAAGTTTTCAAAGCTGAAATTCATCCCGATCATCATGACTTCAGCGATCCAGCTCTAGAACCGAGAGTGAGTCCCCACAGCTCCTGTTACGACATCAGAGGTCTTGGAATCTGACATCTACAGTTGCGGCAAAATACCTTTGCGGTTAAATGTCTCAACTCGCCAAACAAGACACTCTTTCAAAAGGAGGTTCGAGTGTTGAAGAAATTCAGTGGAGAATCACACCCACACCTAATCTCACTTTTGGCGACGTACGAGCAATCGAATCGCTTCTACCTGATATTTCCTTGGGCTGAATCCGATCTCATGAAGTACTGGAAAGTGCTGAATACAAAACCATCGAATGCCGCGGAAACAATATTGTGGATTGCGGAGCAATGTCGAGGAATCTCTGATGGCCTCGTAAGGATCCATCAATACAACTCCTCCGATCTACAAGACAAGGAGGCGCAGCCTAATAGCCGACTGCTGTCTCCGTCAGATGCGCTCAATCGAGACAATCACGAGAGCGCTAAACGGCAGTTTGGTCGGCACGGAGACATTAAGCCCGAAAACATACTTTGGTTCCGTGACACACATCAAGGTGTTCTAAGAATCTCAGATTTTGGTCTCGCAGAGTTGAACAGCCGACTCAGTCGTTCTAATCAACATGGAAGCCAGGTGCCCAATTCTCCCACTTATCGACCCCCAGAATGCGACTTACGTCGGCGCATCATCAGGCAGTCATACGATATATGGTCTCTTGGGTGTTTATTTCTCGAATTCATCACTTGGTCTCTTGGCGGCAAAGACTTACTCCTTGAATTTGCCCGGAAACGAAGTTCGCCCGACCCGTATATGTCAGGCATTGATTCGGATACATTTTTCCAAATCGATGACCCTGAAGCGAAGGACTCGACGGCAGCTTCAGTGAAGCAAGCTGTGATCGAGGTGAGTCAAGCTAGCCTTCTCCATCAGTACTCTATTTCTTCGCTCGCTTTCAAAAGTCTAATGCAACAACGAAATCCCTTTAGTTTGTGGACCACCGACTTCACTCTCATCCTGCATGCAGCGAATACCTGCATCACTTTCTAAGCATGATTATGTACGGGATGTTAGTAGTAGAATCGGAGGATCCCGAATCTGGAGACAGACGAATTACCTGCATCGAAGTGTTACAAAGGCTCTCTATATGGCGAAAGATGTGCGTCTCGTCTGCAAAGTTTTGTTCAGAGCCTGCCGAGAGACCTTTGGATAACCATAGCTGGCATCACTCTCCTGCCAGGGTTAGCTCAAGTGAAGGCCTCGCAGCGCATCAGAGCCGAGTTGGTAGCGGTTTTAAGGGTCTTCAGAAACGGTCAAGTATGAGGAAAGGCTCTAGGTCATGAATAATTAGGTGTTTGCGTGGTGCTTTCCAGTGCCATTGTGATCCAATTGTTAGGTCTGCCGAGCAAATTTGATGAACTATGCACCTTTCAGGTACTCCCCGAAGAGATTCAGGACCTGTTCGTGCCGTTCTTTGCTAACACTAGCCTATGGGCCAAGAAATCAGGGCGAACCATGCGGACATGGAGTAATGCCAAGAAAGGCAGCAACCTATGTGGGCAGCGGTTCCAGCAGGCTGGGAGCCGATCCCTCATCTTATCATGCAGCTAGAGTCCTCGTCTCGGGAAAGACTGCAGGATTCGGCGGTTCTGGCCAGCCAACATCAAAATGAGACACGTGGTGCAGTCTCGCGCGGATACATCCACCAATAGATTACATCCGGTCTCCTGTTGCTGACCGCATACCAGCCCGCGTGCTGCAGGCTGCAATGCGTCTTTTAGAAGCACGTCAATATTTCCCCTCAAAGCAGCAGGCTCGCAATTCAATGGCACCTTCAAGACAACGACTAGTCGCTTTATTGGGCAGGCGCTTCAACGCTTCGGACAGGAGCTCAGCAGCCACGGCTTGGCTGGATCAATATTTGGGGGTGGCCGAGCAGGCCGTGGGCTCATTGGCTCGCGATCATCAACAAATGTGACCGTCCTCATCATCATGTCCCAGATACCAAGACGTGCCAGAGCCTTATCAACTCAGCTACAATGCTACGGCGGAAACATCCGTGGCTGGCTTTGCGTCGCTTGATATCCCTTGTGTTTCCCTTTCTGCCTTGTTTGTCGCAACTTGGCCCCCTCTCCTCCTCCCATCTCTGACAGAGCCCCTCTCTTCCGTTGGTTTCGGTTTCTCGTGCCACCGAACATGTCTCACGACAGCAACTCAATGGACTCATCATTAGGTGACCAGATTTGCCAGCATTTCGTGCAGAGCAGATTCGATGAGCGCAGGCCGCCCTTCTTGCCAGACGGCTGTATTGAGAGCCTCATTACCGAGGGCGCGATTTCCAACGAGCTTTTCGACGAAGACGATGATCCCCAAACACCAGAAAAGGCACTGATACGCTTCGTCAAAGAAAAAGCAAAGAAAGTCTTTGCGATCACAGTATGTAGCGGAATCACCGGATCCGAGCTTTTGAAGACTGTAAGGTTCTTCAAGATCGCCGGTTTCAATGACAGCCATCTTCCGATAGAAAAAGCAGTGACTCCTGGCCAGTATTCCTCCGCTTGGGTCTATCCCTTTCCATTCGATCGCATGGCAGAAAGGCGCATCAAAAGAATATGGAACGGCTGGAGAATAAACAGCTTCTATACTCAGCAATGGGCATTTCTTGCGCCGGTTTTCTCTAAAACCGAATTCCAGCACTACTTATCCCCTGATTGTATCCTCCCTTTCACGTGGGTCAACAACATCGTCAAAGGAGGCATGTTTAGTCAGGTGTATGAAGTAGAAATCCACCCCAAACACCAAGAACATCCAGAGTTGACAGTAAGTGCCTACGCATGAAACCAAAATCGATGTAATCATAAAAAACTCACCTTCATTAGGTAGATGACCGTCCAGCACACGTTGCCATCAAAGAAATTCTTGTCAACAACAACTTGCGTCACGAGATCGAGAAGAACTACGAAGATGAGCGGAAGGCACTTTCCGAAATAACCGATTTACGGCACAACCATATCATCCAACGAATCGCTGCCATTACTCGCGGAGAAAAACGATACTTCATGTTCCAGTGGGCCGATGGCGGCAATCTTAGAGAGTTCTGGAAAGAACAAAACCGGCCCACTCTCACACCGGACCTGGTGAAGCAAACAATCACTCAACTTTGTGGGCTTGCCGATGCGTTGCATGCCTTGCATAATTACAAGGATCAAGGCAATTACCGTCACGGAGACTTGAAGCCGGAGAACATTCTCCGGTTCAGAGACAGCACCTGTGTTGGCGTTCTCAAGATTGCAGACATGGGCCTTGCGAAGCACCACAACGATGCTACGGCAGTACGGAAGAAGGCAACTAGTGCAAAGTATGGTACAGTCCGGTACGAGCCGCCCGAGGTTGTTACCAACCGTCTCGACAAGGCGAGATCCAGACTCTACGACATCTGGTCCATGGGCTGCATCATGCTCGAGTGCGTTATTTGGCTCATGTATGGCTACGAGGCATTGGACAATTTTGACGACAGCCTCAATGATGGATACGATTCCAGTTTCTTCAAGACCAAGGATGTGGACGGGGCGCGAGTAGCAGAAGTCCATCCCACCGTGGTGAAATGGATGAACTTGATGGCTGCCGACCCGCAGTGCGGTAGAGACTCGGCTCTCGGTGATCTACTCGGCCTCGTCAGGAACCGACTGCTCGTCGTTCCTTTGCGCATTCAAGCGCCGACAATAATCCTTAACGGCACTGTCGAAATACCAATCATTGAGGAGAACTCAGAGAGATTTGTATCTGTGACAAGCACCAGTCAAAACACACCCGATATCGGCGAGATCGGCCCCTATCGCGCTGACGCCAGAGCCATGCGATCTGGCTTGGAAAGGATTCTTCGAAAGGCAGATTCCAACCAGACTTATCTCCTTGGATCAAATGATCGACGAATTTCTCATGGCCCTGCATTGGTTCCGCCAAGATCTCAGTCTAACAACTTGCTTTCGCCAATTGCCGCTGAAACGCCTAGAGGGAGCAACCTTTTCCCAGGCACATTACAGGCACAACGTGTAAGTATCGGGCTCCACTACCATACCTTAAGCTCATCAACTGACTTTGATACAGTTTGTATGTATTCTCCCTCAACTTGAGTTCCCCAAACTAACCCCTGCATTGTAGCATGACGTGAGTAGTTAATCGCGACGATACCTGGAGATGGCAGTGAAAGCTGACTTCAGGTGTTAAGTATGTGAGTTAAGTACTCTAGTTCCCTTTTCAGCAGAATATAGCATGACGCACTTCACTAACAGTTGTGAATGGTCCTAAGGAGGTAAGTTGGATAGAGTTCAATGTCGTTTTGATTTCATATGTTAAGTACTTAACTAATGTGCTTTGATTTGATGCAGCACGTAAGTTATCTTTGAATCCCATGCCTAGGCCCCTTTTCTCAGGTCCTTTCTATTTCTAATCGCTAACATGGTTCTTGAATTAAGGCAGTAAGTTAGACTATGCATCTGAGGCTCTTAGCTTATTCGTTAACTGCTATCAGCTTAGCGACCACTGGCGTTTTAGTAGAGACAATGGCTTCGCCAAAATGCTCATCACAAAAATCAACAAAATTGCAAATGACTTGTCGCTTCCCCGGAGCCAGAAGCTCTGTCAGCATTGCGAGAGACTAGACATTCTGGCTACCGGGTTTCACCTTTCTGATACAGTCTCTGATCTACAACACAGAGCCGGCGCGTGTGGTTTCTGCAATTTACTTTTAGAAGCCTGCCAAAAATTGCGAAAATCAGGCTCGTTTCAGCTGAACCGTGAAGGTTCTACCCTGAGGATGTCTGGGATTACCGATCCGATTCTGAGTATTGTTCACGATCCAGGTACGTAAAGGCTAGCTTGACTTCTAAACCAAAGGTAGTTTCCTCTGCTTCCTCGAATGTAATGACTCACAAGGTATGGCAGGTTCAACCGTCTCCGAATATGACAGCATCGGACTTCAGATTGGGTTTCCCAGACTTGCACCCCGCGGCCATCCCCTGTACTTCGAAGTGCTAAGACAGTGGCTCCAGAGCTGTGATCAGGACTCGAAGCATGGCAATTGTCTGCAAGCCGGTGAAGTCAATCTTCCCACGAGGCTACTTGACATCTCTGGTTCGCAGATTCGTCTATGGGAAACAAAAGGCGCCCGTGGAAAGTATCTGGCTTTGTCCCATCCCTGGGGAGACCCTGCGACACATCGACATTTCTGCACCTACATCAGCAATATTGAGAGACACAGAAGAGGCATCGACTTTGAAGATTTACCTGCTACTTTCAAAGACGCAATTATCTTAACGAGAGAGCTTGGCTTTCAGCATCTGTGGATAGACTCAATTTGCATCGTACAGGGACCCGACGGAGACTTCAAGGAAGAGTCTAAACATATGGAAGACGTTTTCAGCTTTGCGTACTGCGTCATTGCGGCCAGTCGCGCTACTGGGCAAGAGGATGGCTTTCTTGGACCACGACCCGACAGGAACTACGTCACTTTCAATCGAAACGGTAGTGGTAACTATCATGTCTGCCAACAGATTGATGACTTCGAAGGCGATGTAATAGAAGGAAGGCTCTGCAAACGTGGATGGGTCCTGCAGGAGCGAGCACTGGCGCACAGGACGATTTACTTCACCGAAAGACAGACATACTGGGAGTGCGGCCAAGGGGTACGCTGCGAGACAATGACAAAGCTGGATAAGTAAGTCAACTTGCCGTGCATGTCCGTATATGACAAGGTGTTGGATCATTCTGACACTTCATGTTCGTAGCAATGTTGCCGCATTCCTCGGTGATCCACGATTTCCCACAATCGCCATGAACTCGCCCAGAGGCGCCAAGATCCATCTCTACCAAGACTTGTACAAACAATACTCGCGTCTGCAGTTCTCTAGAAATGAAGACAGACCATTCGGTATAGCTGGTCTTGAGAAGAGGCTCATCCAAAGCTTCAAGACCCACGGCGGCTACGGTGTCTTTGACGATGGCGGTGGATTGCTACGACGCAGCCTTCTTTGGCAGAGAGGATCTGATTCAACTCTCGATAGAATCATCTTCCCTGCCGAAAGGGACCTTGAAGTTCCTACATGGTCGTGGATGGCCTATAAAGGAGGAATCGACTATCTAGAACCTCCGTTTGATGGCGTGGACTGGGAGAAGAGCGAGATCCAGTCGCCATGGGCTAACAAGTCACCGGATGGGTTCTATCACACTTCGGACAAAAGCCTGGGCATGAGCCTTAGCGCCATTGCTCGTGAGTTTTCTCAGCTCGACATCGACCACTCGGCGAGCAAGCTCATCTTTGACAACCCGGCAAAAAGCGATGGCCAATTACCAAACGTGCGAGTGATTGTAGTGGGAAGGTCTAGAGATAAGACAAAAGATTCTGAGCGGAGGTGTTTTGTTTTGCTCGTCACTCCAAAAGCTTCAAAGAGTGCTGGCGGATTGGTGGTGTATGAACGTACGGGGGTAGGTTACATGCCTGACAGTTGCATTTCGCAGAACGGAACTCCAGTCAAGATACAGTGACGGATGAAAAATTGCATTTTAATCTCAAATTTTCGCGATTTGCAAAGTGAGCAACTGTCAATTTATTCCCTCCAGCCAGGATTCTTCAAGGTCCCTCAGAATCCCAATGGCTGTGCATCCGTGATCCAAGAGCGGAACTGGCTCCCACCGGTGCCTCACCGACTCGGTGAGCCAGGTGTGTCGGTGACTGCGGGGTAGCGGGGTATACACCGAAATCGAGCCGCACTTTGACTCGCAATGGCAGGTGCACACCCTCACCCCGCCATTGACTCACGCTTTTCGGAACTTTTGTCCAGACAGCTCTGTGTCATCAAGCAATTTGAGTCACCTCAAGAGGCGTATAGAAGACGATTGAACAGCCGCCAAGACCCCGGATTCTTCTTCCCCTCGTCAATCGACACTCCCCACCTAGACAACGCGACACAATGGCATCCGCACCCGAAGCCCCGACCGCCGCCATCCCCGCCGAAGCTGTCGGCGACGCGCCCGCCGCCTCAGGAGGCCAGAAAGTCGACCCCTGGAACGTGTCTGGAGAAGTGGGTTTGCGAGTAGCAGCGTATGAGTGAGAAGTGCATATACTGACTCAAGGCAATAGGTCGGCACTGATGGCAAGGTCAAGGCCATTGATTACAAGGTAAGAATTTCAACCCCCCTCGCCAATGGGAAGCTCTAGCTGATCGTTGTCTACTGCACAGAAAATTGTCGACGAGTTCGGAACGAAGCTGATCGACGATGCCCTTCTCGAGCGCTTCGAGCGCGTGACTGGTCATAGGCCTCACCACTTCCTCCGCCGCCAGATTGTCTTCTCCCACCGCGACCTCGACCTTATCCTCGACCGCGTCGAGAAGAAGCAGCCTTTCTTCATTTACACTGGTGCGTTTCCTCGAGAATTGTCCAAAGTCGAAAGGACAATATGGAAAGCAGTATGGGCCAGGATAATGGCTGACAGGGGTGTATTAAGGCCGTGGACCGAGTTCCGACAGCATGCACGTAGGACATGCTATTCCTTTCCAATTGACGAAGTGGTTGTCAGACGTGCTCGATGCGCCATTGGTGGTACGTTGTTCTTGAAGTTACCCCTTAACAAACTCACTCGCTAACTATAGCATAGATCATGATGACCGACGGTAAGAGGCCATGCTGAAGAATACTCCTCGAGCTCTTTACTAAACAGAGGCCATAGACGAGAAGTTCCTCTTCTCTGAGAAGAGAACGGTCGAAGAAGTTCAGCACTACACAAGAGAAAACGCCAAGGACATGTAAGGCTCACAGGAATATTCGCAAGTATACCTCTGACGTCTTGCAGCATTGCCATTGGCTTCAATCCCGAGAGGACCTTCATTTTCTCCGACTACGACTACATGGGCGGCAACTTCTACAAGTAAGTATCATTCATACGCGGCAAAGTAGAGACCTAAAATTGACTTGTCATAGGAACGTTACGCGTGTGGCCAAGAGAATCACCCTCAACACAGCCAAGGCCGTCTTCGGCTTCGACGACAGCTCCAACATTGGCAAGGTTCACTTCGCCAGTATCCAAGCCAGCTCCTCCTTCGGCAACTCATTCCCCCACATCTTTGGCGATGACGAGGCGAAGACTTCCCAGATTCCCTGCCTGATTCCTTGTGCCATTGACCAGGGTTTGTCTTTTCTACCCTTGTTGGCTCTAGAAAGACGAGACTAACACCACGGTAGACCCCTACTTCCGCGTGACAAGAGATTGTGCCGCCGGCCTGCGCTACGCCAAGCCCTCGCTCATTCACTCTCGTTTCCTCGATGCTCTTCAGGGCCCCGGTTCCAAGATGTCGGCGTCAATTGACTCAAGTGCCATCTTCTTGAACGACACACCCAAGCAGATCCAGAACAAGATGAACAAGTATGCCTTCAGCGGTGGCAAGGTTACCGCCGAGGAGCAGCGTGCTGAGGGAGCCGATCCGGATGGTAAGATATCAGGCCAATACCGCAGCTTTCGTGTGTGTAGTAACTAATACCTATCTCTAGTCGACGTCAGCTACCAATACTTGCGCTTCTTTCTCGACGATGATGAGGAACTCGCCAAGATCCGCGAGGACTACCGCACAGGAAAGATGCTTACCGGCGAGATCAAGAAGAGGTGCGCCGAGGAGCTGGCCAAGTACTGCACGGCCTTCCAGGAGCGGAGAGCCAAGGTGGACGAGGAGACTGTCAATCTCTTCTTCAGCCGTCGGCCGTTGTCCTGGGGCCTTGCCGAGAACCTCAAGTCCATTCCCATCCGCGAGGCTACCACTGACGGCCCCGCCGAGGGTGCCGACGGCAAGATGACGAAGAATCAGCTCAAGAAGCTGGAGAAGCAGCGCCAAATTGACGAGAAGAAGGCCGCCAAGGCAAAGGAAAAGGAGGCTGCCAAGGCTTCTGCTTAGAGGCTTAGGAATGACGGATAGGAAAAAGAATATACCCAAGATCTATTGCTTGCAAGACGATGCTTCAAAGACTTTGGAGTGACATGTGCACTTTCTTTAGGCCCAGTAGGTGATTTTTGCGGCAATTTGTGACCTGAGCGGTAGGCTTCTGTCTGGCAACAGCACCCTGTTGGACACCCTGTTGGAAAACAGTCCCGATATCAATGTCCTACTTCTCGTCTATTCAGTTCCATCTTCCCAAACAAAACACGTGTAACCACTTCAGTACATCGCCCAACCACCACTAGCACTAATAACCTGCCCACTAACCCACGAACTCTCAGGACCAGCGAGCCACGTTACAATCCTCGCAACCTCCTCCACTGTCCCCGTCCGATTCTCCACCGGCGTCTGTCTCTTCTGCATCTCCACCAGCTCCTTGGGGATCTTATCCAACATATCGCTCTGCACCGGCCCCGGCGCAACACAATTCACAGTCGTCCCGTTCTCCCCCAACTCCCGTGCCCAAACCCGCGTCAACCCTTCCAGCGCCGCCTTGGAAGAGCAGTACAGCCCCAACCCGGGGAACCCCTGCCGTCCACCCACGGAACCGATGTTGATTATACGTGCGTCCTTAGGTGCCAGGCGAGGGAGGAGGGCTTGGGTTAGGAGGAGAGGCGCGCGGACGTTGAGGTCGTATACTTTTGCAAAGTCGGCGGTGGTGATGGTGCCTAGCGGCGCGTTGAGTTCTGTGCCGGCATTGTTAATTAGGATGTCGATGCGGGCGTCTGGGCCGAGCCAGGCGTCGAGGGCGGCGAGGACTGTTGCTGGGGCGGATTCTGAGGAGAGGTCTGCTTTGCAGGCTACTGCGGAGGGAGTGTGTGAGAGGGAAGTGATTTCTGTGATGAGCGATTGGACTTTGGGGACGCTTGTGTCGGAGGTGTAGAGGAGCATTACCTGTGTGGTGGTGAGCGGACGACAGCAGCGAGATGGGAGGATGATGGAGGGACTTACGGATGCGCCTTTGCGTGCGAGGTCTAGAGCCATGCCTGCGCCGAGGCCGCGGGACGCTCCTGTGACGATTGTCGTCTTTCCTTTGAGCGGTGTCATTTTGGATATGTTTCGATGAAGTCGTGATATGTTCTTGTTGACGAAGGTGATAGCGTGAGTTGGATGGATAGCTTTATCTGAGGAAGCATTGATGCTTTATACAAGATCCCCAACATTGACGGCCTCTAATGCAGCTTACTCTCAGAAGACGGCTGTCTCATAAGTTGCAGTTCCGTCTCACCTACCGTGTAAGTCGGTATCACGGGCCGTGGTCGTCGAGTATCGGCGATCGGGGCACCGCACCCCCGACATTGCTTAACGCCGATCGGGATCTCACACTTCCCTCGCCGTAAGGCCATCGGCGAAGGAAGAGGAGGATCGCCGCCCCTGACGGAACTCTGCATGTAGCGCTTAAACAGACACCTTAGCACCTAAGCTACCTCTTAGCTGTAGGTGCTGGTAGATCAATCAATAGCCTGGCCCCCTGTGGCATGGCAACTTCTTGAAGGGGTCATCTTCCATCTCGGAGTCGGGCAAAATCGGTATCAATTACAAGTGATGTAATGATGTCAACTAATGGCTTGAATGTCCTTTAATAAGTATCTCGCACAGGCCTCTGGTTGATATCATCCAGTTTCTTGAGGAAATATGCGGTGGTTTCTCTCTTACGAATCATTATGGGTGAGAAAACTTCGAACACCTATGGATCGATGTTTTGCAATGTCATGATAAGCTCTAACCGCAGTCACTCTGATAGGCCGGCCAAGAGAGATTTAAGTAAAGTAAAGTGAGGTGTGGAAGAAACACTTAATTTGGTATGCTAGAGATAATACACTGTTAGAAATTACACCTGCCGGCACGACTGCACTGATCAATTATCTAGGGATTTCCATTCTTTGTGCGCCTCCCGATAAGTTGATATAGAACACACGGCAAAACGCCAACTTTTCCATTGGGAAAGGAACATATGGGACTTTATCGAAATCAAAAGGTAGTCTGCAGCTTCGGATAATCCTTGGCGCGCGCCTGTAGATCGGCAAAGATGAAGGCCGAATCGTCACCATCGAGGTGCTCCATGCGCTTTTCGTCCTCGTCGGCAATCTCCTCAAGAACATCCTCTGGGTTCTCCTTGCCAGCTTTGATGTCCTTGGACTTTGGCTCGACGGCATTCCTGATTCCGGACTGACCAATGAAGAGAAATTGAGCATAGGGGTAGTCGAGATGCTCAGGCTTGGTGTTTGTCCACCGCAGGTCGCGGAAGTCGTCCTTAATACTAAATGTCATACTGTCAGCACTACACCTCAGCCCGAGAGGGGGAATAATCCTGGCCTCATGTACCTGTCTGGGAAGTCGGGAGTCTGATCGAGACTAGCATTTGCAGGGCCCTTCTTGTAAGGGTTCTTCGTGCTCAAGATGAAGCTCCCCTTCTCCTTGAGCCCAAGCTCTTTCTGCACCTCGCCGAGGTCAGACGGCAGGGTAAGCATGTACGCGAGATGGCTGTCGCTTCCAGTAGTGGTGATAACGTAGACGCCCTCCCCAGCCGGAGTGGCAGCAGGCGCATGCGATACGCCAGACTTGGTCTGGTTATCAGCACCAGACAAGAACTGCTCCTTCAGCTCGGCGAACGAAGCGCCCGCCTTTTCGACAAAGACCATGAACTTGTCGCGGCCGGTCTCGGGGAAGACCTTCTTCGGCAGGGCGAGCAGGCGCGTGTTGCCCGCATCGCCAATGGGACCGTCGCCCAGGCTGGAGTCTATGCCAATGGGGCGGAGGATCATGTAGCTGCGGGCAATGTCGTCTACTTCCTCTGCGTCGTCGATGTTGACGCGGGCACGGAAGAAGAAGTAGATGATTCCCTTTTCGAGAATCGTGGAGGGGACCTTGTCCTTCTCGCCTGTCTTCTCTGCGGACTCTTCATCCGTTGCCTTGGCTTCTGATTTATCCTCTGTGGTAGTTTCTTCCACATTGTGCTCTTCGTTTTCCTTTTCGGCCTCCTCGACCTCCTCCACCTTTTCTGCCATTGCAGCCTCTTCTTCCTTGGTTGGCTCCTCTGGTTTCGTCGAGTCGTTCGTCGCCTCCTCTTCGCCATCCTTCATGTCTGTGTCGGCTGCCTCTTCCTTTGCCTCGGTCTTTTCTTTAGTCTTCTCGGCTTCGGCATCGTCCTTCTTTTCAAAGGCCTCGTCAATGGTGGTCTGACGGGTGGAACCATCATCTGACGTCTTTGCACGCTTGGCATCTGGGGATCCGCTAGCAGCGTCCTTTTCGATGCCACGCTTCTCACCAGCCGCAGTGGAAGAATCTGCGTGGCCATTGGCGTCGGCAGCACTGTTGGCACGCGATCTTGTTCTTGTAGTGACCATGGTGTAGATTGGTGGTGGAGGTAGGGTGTGTAGTTGGATTGATGGTATTCTTTTCTTGAAGGAGGTTAGAGCTCGAGAGAAGTCAATTGGACTTGTTGAGTATGTTGATCGAAGTAAGGAAAGAAGAGAGAGTTGAGAGAGAAAGAGAGGGTGTCGAAAAGCACTGGTTGCTGCGGTGAGCAAACAGCTTCGAGGCGGAATGCGCGACTGGGCCAGTCTGATCAAGTCCTGATGTCATCGGCGTACGGTCGCACGCGTCGCGTTTCTTTTTAGGATGGGCAAGTAGCCGCCATTATGTAACCTGGCACTCTCTCTGTGACGTGCCACGGTTCCATCTCGCGAATTCGTCGCTTCCGTGCCCTTTCTTTTGTCATCAGGGGCTCTCATGATTGTTGATCGATGTAAGTGGCAGGTTGCATCTTGTGAGTTTTGTGTAAGTCAACGCCGCCCCCACAAACGCGATCATCAAGTTGAGCGTCGCACGCTGTCGTCGGCTGGGTTCATTCTTCCATCATTTCTGGAAAATGCAAGGTACGCTTCGGGTCCAATTTCGAATCCGAAAGAACTTGGGAACAAATTCACTGAACGATGAGAGAGATAGAGCATCCGCATATTATCACATATCGCGTTTTGGTGATTGCGAACTATTGTAAAAGGCGCTCCTCATACCTGCCAGGCAAGACAAAGACGCCAAGAAATACGTCCGAATCAACCGATAGTCAAGTCACGCATGCCGCCTCGCGATGATGGCTTCAAAGACGAGCCGAATCACCATCGCGGCCGTCCTGGTCGCAGCGAGCCCTCACTCAGTCGCGGAGGCTTTCGCAAGGGGCGGGGCTCCTGGCGAGCCCCCGACTTAGGCGCAGAACCGGCGAGACCCTTCAACAACAAGCATCTCATCCCCGATGGCACAATTGGCTAGCGCGTCAGACTGTTAATCTGGAGGTTGGTGGTTCGAGCCCACCTCGGGGAGTTTCAGTGGTTAGATTCCACAGCTTAGAGTGCGTTACCGTTTCTTTTGCACTATCTCACAGCTTTTTGTCCGCCCTGAACCCTTCTTCTCTCCGCTGAACGTCTATCTCGCGCTTTCGGCTTCTTCCTACATGCGCCCGCCTTCATAGCATTAAGGCGCAATTCATTAATTCATATTTATTTTCAGCCATTACGGGCTTTTTCTTTGAGCCAATCAATCGGCGAACCATGCCTAGTGCATGTCGTAACTCGTCATGCGCCGAGTGCATGCCTCATAAGTTTTTTAGGTAGTGAGGCTTGAACTTTTTGTTCGCGCGATCCGCCCCGCGCATCAGAAATTGGTCACCGAGAACCTCGAAAACAAATTGGCGTGGAGCGTCTTGCGTGGCTGAATCTGTATCTGGCTCCTTGACGGGTATCTCGAACTTGAACCATGTCCCTTCTTTTGGCACAATCTTGACATCGTTTTTTAGTGTTATGATTTCGAACGCAAACTTGCCGTCCTTGATGATAATGCCCTTAATGCCAACCCTACTCGGGCAAGAACTGCGCGACACTTCAACCGCAGCCCCGTGAAACTCGGCAGCGCTCAGCTTTGCCGAAGCAGAAGCGCCGCCTGTGTAGAGCTCTGAGCCCAGGATTTCCTCAATATAGCCCAGCCAGAGGCGGTGGAGGGGTTCGAAAATGGAGTATTGTTGGCCTTCGCGGGGTACTTCGTAGAGGCCGCGCCTGTGTCTTTCGCGAGAGGAAAGGGGCTTCGGCTTCAGCTTTTGTTTCCTTTTTGATTCTTCGCGGGCCTTGCGACGGGTCTCTCGGGCGTTTGACGGCGGTGGTGGCGAGCTTGGTCTGAGGTAGAGCGGTCGGTACTGGATTTTCTCGGAAAAGAGGCGATTGGCGCTGTCGGGAGAGTGCGCCCGGGCGAGGAGAGCCTGCGTAATGGGCTGATTTGAGGGGATCATATCTTCCCCAGGGTCTAGCAGAGATTCGCGGGCTTTCGATAAGTGCGGGGGTTGTGTTGGGCCGCAGTGTAGCTGTGCTGGCGCAAAAGATCGCGATGGTGGTGCTTGCTTGTCGAAACTGAAGAGTCAAGGTTGACGCTGGAAAGATGGAAAATTAAATGTTAGTGCCTCCAGATTATGGGTGGGTACGTACTTATCTCCAATTGGTGGCAGGCAGCAGGCAAGCGCCAGAAGCAGGGTGGCTCCTGCAGCAGCAACATGGATGGGTAGTATTTGTTCACATGCCGAAGCCGCTAAATGCCACTTGAGCAGGAGCTCGGCTTAACACAGGCGGGCAGGTGGCACTTGACCTCAACGGTCCACCAGAATTCCCCCCCAGAACCCGGAGGGCAATGACAATGCGACTTGGAGGCTCTCCGGCGCATCGTCCACACCACATACAACACAACACACCCAGTGACCCAGTCTCCTTTTCTCCAAGTCTCAACAGTCCGTCACTTCTCCAACGCCATCTTGCGACTTTGATCGAGGGATTCAGGACATATAAACGGTAGCTTCAATCCTTCGCCGTGTTCTTCCACTGTCGGCAATGGCAAGGGACCTTTGACGGACTGTTTCGGAGCATCCCAGAACGACCAAGCTAGCACTGATATCAACAACCACGGACGGACGGGCCGAGGTTCGACGATCTACAATTCCCACGCGCCTTCTCTCCCCGACTTTACCTCACTCGATACCCCACGAACACCTCGAAGACGCCACAAACTGACCACACTCGCACCACACTCTAATCATCACCCAACAATGGCGAAGAACGACGACTCCGCGCCGGATCTGAAGATCCTCGGCGACCAAATCACCCTTCAACCTAGCGGCTACATCAAGCCCTCCCAGCCACGCGATGACGAAAAGGAGGAGGCTCTAATGAAGCACATGGCACGCTTCCGCCAGGAACCGCTACAGTATGTACCACCTGCGCGCCGGCCCGCCTGCTCGCTGGTCTCAGCCTCAATGTCGATCCAGGAACAAAACTAACTCGGTTTTCTCCATGATAGGTTCCTCCGCGAAGTCTCTCTATATGTCTCCGGTACCGGCTGGCGAGCGTACGATAATGCCATCGGTCAACCCATCTTTTACTCCGGTTTTAGCGATAAGATGAAGGAAACCGTGCTCTCGGCGCCCTTGTTGCAGTCGCGCATAGCAGATCTCGCTGAAGGGCGTGTCGCTGTCGAAGAAAAAGAAGGCCTGTTGAATAAGCAAGACAAAGACTTTGCCATGAAGCGCGCACGCAGACGAGCTGTCATTGAGTCTGGTATCCAAGAGGTGGCTGACAAAATGACGGACGACATGATTTGCAAGTTTGAGAGCAAGACCTTCATCAGAAGTGCATATTATCTCGTCACGCAGTTGACGTTGCGGGCCTATAACCAAGGAATCCACGTCTCTAGTGAAGAGGTCCTGAGGCTGAGAAAGGTTGCCGAGGAGGCCGAAAAGAAGAAGCAGAGCATCATATTCTTGCCCTGCCATCGATCACACGTCGACTACGTTTCCCTGCAGCTCATCTGCTACCGCCTTGGACTTGGCTTGCCCGTCGTTGTAGCTGGCGACAACCTGAACTTTCCTCTTGTAGGGAGCTTCTTGCAGCATGCCGGTGCCATGTGGATTCGGAGAGCGTTCGGCGACGATATTTTGTACACGACGCTGGTGCAAACGTACATCGACACGCTGCTGCAAGGCGGCTACAACTTTGAATGTTTCATTGAGGGGGGCCGGTCGAGGACAGGAAAGTTGTTGCCTCCCAAGTTTGGTATTCTTAGCTTCATCCTGGACAGTATCCTCTCAGGTCGCGTGGAGGACGCCATTATCTGCCCAGTGAGTACGCAGTACGACAAGGTCATTGAAACCGAGGGCTACGTTACAGAGCTGTTGGGCGTGCCCAAGAAGAAAGAGAACCTAGCAGACTTCCTTTCTGGGGGCTCTTCAGTCTTATCCCTGAGACTTGGCAGAGTTGACGTCAGATTCCACGAGCCCTGGAGCTTGCGCGGCTTCATAAACGAGCAGCTCACGAGACTAGAAAGATTACCGACCGGGCTCAACATGGACACAAAGAATCCCGAAAATACGGCTATCCGACAGAAACTTCTTCGCATCCTGGGCTACAAGGTTTTGTCGGACATCAATGATGTCTCGGTCGTCATGCCTACAGCCTTGATCGGTACTGTCTTGCTCACTTTGCGAGGCAGAGGTGTAGGCAAGACTGAACTCGAGCGACGCGTTCTGTGGCTCACCGACCGTGTGCGGGCAAAGGGCGGCAGAGTCGCTCATTTTGGAGCTGCGCCCCTCTCTGACATTATCGAACGCGGCCTCGATGTTCTGGGCAAGGAGCTGGTTGGCGTCGTGAAAGACCTTCCAGAGCCTACCTACTATGCCGTTGATCGCTTCCAGCTGTCCTTCTACCGTAACATGACTATTCATCTGTTCATTTCGGAGGCTATTGTTAGCGCCGCCATGTACATGAAGGTGAAGCAGGGTGGTGGCCCGGCTATGCAGGATATCTCCTTCCAAGAGCTGCAAGACCAGATTCAGTTCCTGTCATCACTGTTCCGTGGAGAGTTCATCTTCCCTAGTGAAGGTCTAGCTGCCAACTTGGAAAAGACGCTGCGAGACCTGGAGGCGGATAAGGTGCTGAAATTGCACCGGGACGACCAGGGTAAGGTGATTGTGGTTGGTCTTTCAGATCATGAGAGAGCTGTCGGACGGGAGAATTACGACTTTTACTGCTTCCTCATCTGGCCGTTTATCGAGGCTAGTTGGCTCGCAGCTGTCTCATTGATGGGCTTGTCGCCGCCTCTGGGCCAGAAGGATGATATCTGGATCGAGGTTGCAAAAGCCCAGGGCAGTGCACAAGTGGTAAGTGGACTACTATGGTCATTCGATATGGTATACGTGACTAACACTCTCCAGCTCGGCAAGACGCTCTACCACCAAGGCGATCTCAGCTACTTTGAGGCGGTCAACAAAGAGACGTTGAAAAACGCCTACCAACGGTTTGAAGAGGAGGGCATCCTTCAGGTTGTCAAGTCAAAAGACCCCAAGGTTCCTCCACGTCTGCGTCTCGACCCAGAATGGCGCCCCTCTCGTGATCCGGAAACCGGCGCTCTGAATGCCTCTGGCCGGCTGTGGGACTTTACCGAGAAGATCGCCTCCAGTCGCCGTGAGGGAAAGAATCGTCGTGATGGCGCCACCGTTAGCACACGAGTGCTCCGTCTGACGGACTTGCTGGGAAGCAAACTGTTTGACGCTGCCAGGAACATTGACGGCAAGGGGGTGTCGCCCCTATTGAGTATCGAAGACGCGCGGCAGCTTAAGAAGAGCGTCAAGGAGCAAAGGAGGCGTAGGTCGCTGGAAAACCGCGCCCATCTGTAAATGATGTATTACTGTAATCGTGTCAAGCGTGATGATCTTACGATAGTATTTGTTAACTGGAAAGCATGGCATTCTTGGAAATTATAAGAAGTCTATATAGCATTATGCGGTAAAATAGTGATAGTGCTCGTCTTTCATTTTTATCCAAGTTGAGACCCTCACATCGCTCCTTACTGGGTATTAGGCTTGAGAATAATGTTGTCAATGAGGCGCACTGCAGGACCGTCGTTATGACCAAGGTCTTCGTCGGGCTGCGGCTCCTCCACTGGCAGCATCTTCACAGCGCCGCTGAGAATACCGCCCTTTGTCGGCACAACAGTGTCAATCTCCTGCATGGTGTCCGGGTCCGCCAGCGAGATGTAATCCACCTCAAACATGACCCTATCCTTGGGCGCCAGCTTCGACTGCTCCGCCAGGACGTCAGCCGTCACCTGGTTCGCGGCCCCAAGGATCGTCTCCCGGTCCAGCGCGCCGTCCCGCTGGTACTTTTCTTCTGCCGCTTTCAGTGCGCGGTTCAGCAACGTCGCGACCCTGCGTCTGCGCTCGCCGAGGTAGACGTTACGCGAGCTCAGCGCGAGGCCGTCGTCCGCGCGCGTCGTCTCGCCGATGACGACGTCCATGGGGAGCATGAAGTCTTCCACCATGCGGCGGATAACGACCGTCTGCTGAACGTCCTTTTGGCCAAAGTATACGCGCTCCGGCTGCACAATATTGAACAGCTTCATGCACACCGTCGCGACGCCCCGGAAGAAAGTCGGTCTGCTCGCGCCCTCGAGGACCTCCCCCACAGGCGTAATCGTCACAAAGCTCCCTTTACTCCCGACCTCTTGCCCGGGGAAGCCAGAGGGATACATCTCCCCCGTCGTCGGCGCAAACACAGCGCTCACGCGGCCGAGCATATCCCCGTCGCCCGCCAGCTCGCGGTCCAAGTTCCGCAGGATTTCGGAGTCGCGCGCCCAGGTTACCGGGTAAGACGCCAGGTCCTCTGCGATGCCGAACTGGGCCGGGTTGACGTAGATGGAGACGATGACATGGTGGTTCTCGCGGGCGGCGGCGCGGATGAGGGAGAGGTGGCCCTCGTGGAGGGCACCCATTGTCGGGACGAGGCCTACGGAGCGGTAGTTTAGGACGTGGGGGCGGCGCCAGTGACGGAGGGCGGAGACGGTGCGGAGGACGCGGATTGGACTTGAGGGGAGGGTTTCGGGGCCGCGTGACGGTTTAGAGGAGGAGGAGGAGGAGGAGCATGCTGTTCGGAGCTGTTGTTGCTGGGCGAGGGCCGCGGCGGCGGCACTGGGATGGGTTGTGCTTGCGCCCGCGGCGCGGAGGGTGCGGGCGAGCATTTTGGGTGATTTTAGGTTGTGTATAATGATGAGAAACGAGAGATGAATTGGATTAGGGAGGAAGAAAGGGGATTGCGGCCATTGTGGAGGCGCAATGGCTTTGTAGAGTCATCCAAAGCTGTGATGGTTTCTGCGGCGGATTTTTGGGGACGACGGAGGTTTGGTGGAGATGGAAGCGGCGGTCTCGGTGTTATCGGTGAGCTCGGTGAGGAAGGGGGAGCTCTTGGAGCTTATGTGGGCTTTTGCACGTGATTGAATGACATAAGCTGCCTTGGTGGCTGTATGTACCGAGAACCTTGATGGTTTCCGTGTGGGAGTTTCCGGAACGCCAGACCGAACATTCACCGAGACAAGAGCCGAAGCTTATCCAGGTGAAGCTCGGTGTGTACCCGCGTCGGGGAATTCGCAGCGGATATCCACTGAATAACCTCTCCAAACTTCCCGCTGTCACGGCCCTCCTCCCTGGTCTCCCATGCTCTCACCCTCCCTTTTCTCCATCATCTCCGGTGCCCCTTCTTTTCCATATCTTCTCTTATCAGCCGACAACACCTAGGAGTCACACGAATGCTCCTCAGGTAGTCAAGAACAAGAAAGCCAATCTGCAATGCTACACGAAGATAAATGGTCAAGTTAGTGCCTCGTACAACATGGCACCAGAGAACTCTCGTACAACACAAGCATGCGAGATTGCCGTCAACCTTTCCCTTCATCTTTTGGGGGCACAATTTACTCGGTCCCGCGGTCTAATGCCCGATCAAATCGGCGCTACTTTTGCTAGGTCATGCCGCCTCCCCTCTCACCCTCACTTTCACTTTCACTTTCACTCTCACTCTCACTCTCACTCTCACTCTCACTCTCACTCTCACTCTCACTCTCACTCTCACTCTCACTCTCACTCTCACTCTCACTCTCACATTCACTTCCATTTGCAAGTTAACTTTTCATAATCGTTTCCTTTCTCCGGATTCTTTGAAAGTGGTCAACAGTCCTCGGCTCCGTAAACTTCCCTATTCATTTCTCCAGGCTTTGATACCGATTTGTCAAATCTCCTGTTTCACGCCTGGAGACACTTTCTTGGCATCTCGGCTCAGTTGTAGCAGATTTCTCTCTTTGCCTTGCGCCTTTGTTTTTCTTCCCCTCCCCCTCCCTCCCCATTCTGCAGAGAGGACTGCTATGCGCTAGCACCGGGTAACTTCAGACGAAAAAAAAAAAACCAGACGCAGGAGATCGAGGCTCGGCTTGCTGCAGGTTGGGGCTGCGGCGGGTGGAGGGGGGAGTGGAAGGGTGCCCAATCTCCCGGCCGATTAAACCCTGAATGTTACACAACATCCCAAGGACTCGAAGGTGATGATGGCGCACGCGGTAAAGCAAAATGGCTGAAATGCTTGGTGGTTTGCCAAGTCCACCGGTCCACGACGTGAGCGTACGTACTACAGACAAGTCGCAGGAAGCCAAGGGTGCCACAAAAGTGACAAGACGACTCGAGATACAGCATCTGGCTCATCTCCCAACCCCCCGCCAAGGTGTTCCCGATCAGCCTGGGCGTCGGCTGGAGATGACGAATACAGAGTGACAGGAGTTGAAATCTGAATATCACCAAGAGACTTGGCGGGCTCTTTCTTTCTTTGCCACTGCAGTATCATTGTGTCAAGTAGTCGCAAAGGCCCCACGAACCCCCCGCCCGGAGCCGGGACGTCCGTCACAGCTTACCAACCCTTGACCGTTACGGTGAGGGAGTCAGACTGGACGTTTGGGAGCATCTCCCCCAGGAATGCCTACCCGCGAAGGGGGCAAGGCAAAAACTTCCCGAGAAGCTTATCCCTTCCCGCTTGAGAAATATGAGCCTCCCTGGTTTCTTGTTCCGGAATAGAGGGTCCCCTTCCCTTGGGTTGGTTGGTAACCCTCCTTTGAGGTTGTGGGGGACCGGCGGCGGCGGCGGCGGGATGCAAGGCAAGGCATGACGATGGGGGAGGTATGGATATTCCGTACTTGTATCGCTACCAAGTCCTGTTCAAGCTGGGGAGAGAACAGTTGTCACAGGAGGATGGGCAAAGTGGCACAAAACTGGCTGCTGATGCTGCTGTTCCTCCACATATTCGCTTTCCACGACTGGAAGAGCAAAAAGCTACACACAACCTTGTGTGTTCCCGAGCCGCTGAGTGAGTTCAAGATAATGTGGTGCTTGCATCGACCTTTTCAACACCGCGCACCCGCATTCGCTTTCGAATCTTGTCATTGTTCCAACACAGGCTTTATCGGATGAAGGCTCGCTTGTGGCTGCTGCTGCTACTGCTATTGCTGCGAGGTTCGCTCAGGAACCAAAAACCTAGAATACATTGTGCTGCATTTCTGACAATGTTCTGTGCCTATGTTCAATGTCGTTGGAGTCCACGGCTCGACTTACATTACGAACGGGAGAAAACAAAAGATTATCCTCACCATCATTCTATTCGGACAGGGCTTCTCTGGCGAATCCGTTTCACTTTGGTTCGTCTGGTGGGCAAGTTTCGTAACCCGCCGCTCGGGGTCGGGGAGGGGTGCGCTTGGCAGAATACAGCAACATTGAGTCTCTTGGCATTTTATGTGCAAGCAGCAATCTTGGCTCTTGGACGGTAACGCAGTGCTCGGCAAACCGAACAGCCGGCGGGAGAAGGCGGGGAGAGAAGGGGACTATGAGCGTCCCATGGCCGGTGGTAACTCTGACAGAAGAGAGTCCCAGAGAGAAGGGCGACGGGGAGAGGTCGGACGAAATTATTGTGAGGAGAGGGTCAAGACGCTTCTAAGCTTTGGATTGACACACCTTAATTCTACGCTCTTGGGCTCTGAAGACCACCAAAAACTCAGAAGGGCAACGAGACCCGATGGGAAAGGCAACCTAACTCTGAGTTGTGCTCTGAAATGCGTTTATTCTGGGAGAGAGAGAGAGAGAGGGATGGCAGCTTGTGGTTGGGACACTTTGGGCGTGGCGTAAAGACCAAACGAAACATGGGCAAAAGCTTCCCCGAATGCCCCCTCAAGGAATGAACCTTGCTTACTTGAGCCTATATTCGCAACCACTGACACTGTTAAGGTGAGGTGGGCGAATACGGTTGTAGGGCTTCCATGCTATTGAGCATGCTGGATACACCGACAAACTGGGCTAATAACTGGGGAGGTGTCGCGAGACACTTTTCCCACTTCGGCTCTACTCGCCCCCTACGACAACTGTGACATGATTAACGACTCGCTTCATTCGGCTGATGCTTTCCAATCTCGCTCGGTCTTGCTAATTCTGTTCGACAACCCTGTTGAGGCTCTGGCTATAGTTACCAGCACAATAAGTCCGGTATATCATACGGCTTTGCTGGCCAATTACGTAGTTTTTTGTCGACTGTCGTCTCTCTGTTTTGGCGCGCGGCCGGCACCGCCTATGGGATCGACGTACCCGGGGCAAGGTAGAATTGAGGTTGCGCCGGGGCATGGCGATCAAACCGTCCCGAGCAGCCTGGAGCAAAACAACTCGGCCGGCGGCGGCGGCGGGGAGGGAATGAAATGTTGGGGTGGTCCACTGAGTTACTGGAAATGGACGGACAGGCAGGCAGGCAGGGCAGGGCAGGCATCCTTGAAGGGCAGAGAGATAGAACATGAGATAATCGGGAGCATCTGGCATGATGGTGGACGTCAAAACAAACCTGGGCGAGAATACGACGTTCCGCGACTAACATACGCCAGCTGCTGGCGAGGCCGCGAATCACCCTTTTCGAGTCCCCACACTCACTACGCAGCAATGGAAACAGAAACCGCAACAAGAGGCGGTGCTAGGCCTCTAGGCTCTGCTGAGAATCAGGCGGAAGCATCATCAAGCGGATGCAACTGCAACTCGTCCCGTAAAACGATGCCAATCATGCCAGGGGGATGGGACTCATGGGAGGGTTATAGTTGCTATTGCGCGGCCTTGACGCTGAATGATGACCATTACCAGTGGAGAGCGCGCGCGCGCCGAGATAACTGTCATAGTCAAACAAGGGCTCATGATGGGTCAATAATTCCAAAAGAATCCACGGCCAAGCCTTCTTTTGCCTGGTTCGATGGTCGGCCTCGAGGGACGATGATACAAAGACGCCATACTACGCACTGACGATGACCACATTGGAATTTTCTGCGCAAAGTTGCTAATGGATGGTCTCGGCATTCTTGGAAGCAAGAGAAGCCGAAGCAGTCCTGTGACAGTGACAGAGAAGCTCGAGAGAAACACGGACGGACAGACGGGGGCCCTGTTCGAGCTCAGGAGGTATCCCTGGGCTCAAGAGAGAAATCCATTCGTCTTTCGCCGTCGGAGAATATTCGACGTCTCCAACGGGAAATAGGATGACGAGCTTCCGAATGATGTGAGGATAGAAAAGAAGCGAGCAAACATCAAAAAGGAAGCATTTGGGACGGAACAAACCTGTAGATGACAGGGTCCCAGTGCACTTCACCACCTAAAGAGATTCAGGTATCCGTTACTAGAAAATGGTGTGGGAAGCTGGCTCTGCTGTTTGGCTGGATGGCGCTCTCTTCCAGCCCTTCGACCATGATTCTAGCGGCACCTGGAACCCCGGAAAGGCGGATCTGCAACACCAGTCCCGCGCAAGGTACGGGCATGTGGGAGTGGGAAGTGCATGAGAGAGATGAGCGAGGATGATTGGGTGAAGAAGCCGTGTGCTGTGGCTGTGTGTGTGCGCTTCTGCTGCATGGTCCGAGAGTCGCAGGTCTCGGAACAAGGATCGCGAGTTGATCTGGTCCTGATCCCCCGTCATTCTTCAGTGACATCTATGTACGAAGTACTGTGTACTGTGTAGGTTATGGATAATACAGCTGAGTGTCTATCGCTTTGAGTGTGCAACATTGGCAGGTTTTGGAGAAACTGCATTGTGACTGTGTACAGGATAGGAGAGAGTGAGCCGATCTTGCACTGAATATTGGTCTTGTCTCTCGTCTTTATCACCAGCCCGACATGGTCCCTCTCTTTCAGCTGGTCAGCAACTCAATCAGAAGTTTAGAACGGCTAACCGGCGCCGAAAGGCGGATATCCCGAGCTTAGGCCAGGCTAGTTGATGGAGCACGTCGGACCACGGCCGTGTTGCTAAAGACAAGTTTCCTTCGTCGAGTCTTGCTCAGTAGATGTTCCTTCTCTGACAATCACTCGCACGACGACACACACACACGACGTCAACACCTACTCGATCCCAGCTCTCTAAAGCCATCGTGATCGTCACTATCAAAACAGGTACGGACCTCTGAACCACAGACTTTCTGTGGCTGTCACCATCGGCAAACGCTTCTTCCATCTTAAAAAGTGGAACCTAGGGACCGCTCCGGTTTTAGAAGATCCCACACAAAAAGTGCTAAATCAAGCGAGAGGAGGGACGTTTGGTTGCGTTGTGGATGGTGTGGTGAGATCGAGACACGCCCGTGTGGTGCGTCCATCACACACGTCCCACGCGGCCGTCTGTCTGTGTGTGTCTGTCTCTCTCTTCCTCCTCCTCGACAGTCTGCAAGGAAGTCTGCCCAGTTCACTTCTTCTCCTTTCTGCATCTGGGGACACACCCACAAGTCGCCCATCCATCATCGCTCGCACCGCCATCCTTCGCCTCAAGTTGTCACTGTGTCACTGAATCTCGCACTCTTTCCACTGTATCTTCTTCTCCCCTTCCCTTCCCAGGCTCTCATCCCTCCCTCCCATTCGTAAATCTTCAGTCTCAGCCTCCCCGCCTTTGCGCTCATACTCTCATGTATGATGTACCTACCTCTCCGCCATGGAGGCCAGGCTAGGGGATTTGTTTTCTTGCTGCTCTACCCTATCCACGCCCCCGTTCCAGCAAAATCCGTACCTGATGTGAAAGGGGAAGAGAGGGGGAAGAGTTCTGGACTCACTCAATTCCGACGTCCATCCATTATCCATTCATTCATCCATCATCGGTTACTGACCGACTACCTTCTCTGCCCACTGTGACTGTACCTGTATCTGGCTGCCGGCCTGCCCACTCGCCCGAGAATCGGCGTCACTCAATCTCTCTTCGGCTTCTACTACCCACTCTGTCTGCCCTACTACCTAAACATAGTATAGCCGGCCTGTCAACGTTCTTCTCCCATGCATCTCTATTCCTTTTTACCCAAGATCCTTTTAACCCAAGAGTTTCTTCCCACCCGCCGACTTGACACTAGACGGAACAAATCCCAATACACAGCCAAGAGCCGTTGAGGTTTTGAGGCCAAGAAGGATCACACATGTAGTCTTGACCAAGACTCTTTCCTCTACCACCAAGTCTGCGCCATCTGCGACAAATCAAGCCTACTCGCGGCTTTTCGCGACGTTTCTCCATCCGAAGACTTTGTTGTTGTCTTGGCTAGAACACTCTCACAACCATAACCCAGGGAGGGAACAAGACCCCCAAGGGCCACACCCCCCTGTCTCCTGGCTCCTGGAGTCCTGGCACCCCGATCCCGACCTGAGGTCCCTCTCACTTGGGAAACCCATCCCGCTTGATCCCGCTCCTTTGCCGAGAGATTTCAACACTCGACACTACCTACCTTGCCCTTCTCCATCCTCCGCCGCCTAGGTTCTCATGTCGTTGTCGTTCTCGTCCTCATCCTCTCTGCGTCGTTGTCCTGCCTCCTGATGGAAATCATCAGCGACATTGCATCGCGATACAAGTCTTCCCTCCACCCTTGACTATCTTGAAGCAGATACACCCAAGGCCGGATAGGACCGGGGAGATCGTAGCATCGGAGACAAGACGACACCACACCGGCAAAAGAGGAACGAGAACTCTGTTGCGACCACTGCCCACTCCAAGTGTCTCCAATACCCACGCACTGCCTACTCGGTACAGCGCCTCGCCCCAGACTGCCCACAGTCCGCCCACCCATCGCCCGGGATTCCTGCATATGTAAACGACCTAGCGGGCACGAGAACAGACCAAGTCTCACCCTTCCCTCCACCTGTACCGTCCACACACACACTCGCTCGCACTCACACACACACACACACACACACACACACACACACACACACACACACACACACACACACACACACACACACCATCCACACCTTACCATACACCGTAAGGTATTACCCAACGTAACGGCCTGGCCTGAAAGAGACGGAGCACAGAGCACACACACAGCACAGAGAGAGAGTGAGAGAGACAGGGAAAAGGGGACCACTCTTCACACTTCACCATCTTTTACGCTAGTCAAGTCAATCCCGTTCTATCCCAGGAGGCGACTAGCAGCTTGTGACTTTTACATCTCGACTTTTCACTCTCACAAGCCGCACTACATTCTCCGCTTTCTCTCTCTCTCACACACACTACACACTCACAACTCAACTCGACTCAACTCACTCACCGACACACTCTCACCTCACACCTCAGGCCCCCGTACCCGACGCCCTCAACGCTGCTGCATCGCGCGCATCGTATAGCCGACAACCCGTTCGACCCCGATCATCGTCGTCGTCAATCTCACCACCATCTACGACCAACAGAGCGCCCAGTACCGAGATAGCAAACTCGATAACCCGCAGACTCCTCTCCCTTCCCCGCGATAGGCTGCCTCTTCCCAGCAGCCCCCCATTTTCGGCTCCGTACATTCGAGAGACACTTTTTGAGAGAGAGAAGAGAGAGAGAGAGAGAGAGAGAGAGAGAGCCCCTGCAGCCGCGCTCTCACTCACTCACTCACTCCGTCCCCGGCCTACGCGCCTGTTTTCACTCTCATCGTGAGAGGCTGAATAATCTCATCCAACGACCGCTCATCAGTGCATTCTTCTCACGACGGCAACATCACCACCAACTTCCACCAACGTTTCATGCTCACGACATCCTCCCAGTCGCAACCCAATTCACCACAACCAGGTGTCCCGAGCAATCACTAAAGAAACTGGCCGCGCATCTCGTCCCTTCGATCCCCATCCGTCTCTACTCGCCAGAGACGGATCTTTCGAGTAGCCCTGGAGGCATACGACGCCTCTGCAGGCGTCCTCGTGCCAGGCTTTGGCCTCGGTTCGGCGGTGCTGAATCCCTTTGAGCATCCGCCCCTCGACTTCGTCCACGATCCTTACCACCTAGTAGGAGGCGACAACGACGACGACGACGAGGACCAGGTCTCCTCCCTCTCCTTCGGCTTCTCCTCCGATTTTACGCCAGATTTTACACTCGGCCCCGACGCCGACGCCGCCTCCAACTCGGAATCGGCATCTTCGTATCTCGGGAATCATCACCATCACCACCAGTCAAACTATTTGAACCAGCAGCAGCATCATCACCATCATCAACAACAGCACTACCAACACAGCGCCGCAGACACCATGAACTTGCCCAGCTCCCACATCCCGCCCCGCCGCAGCGCGAGCATCCACTCCCTCACCCCGTCGCGCGACCTCCTCGTCAAGCCCAAATCTCCAGAGAAATCCGCCGCCGCCGCCGCCGCGACCGCCACCAAATCAAAACGAGTGCGGACGGGCTGTCTAACGTGTAGGGAACGGCATCTAAAATGTGACGAAGGGTTACCAGACTGTCTAAATTGTCGAAAAAGCAGTCGAGAATGCAAACGTGGCGTGAGGCTTAATTTTATAGACGTGCAGGTCAAGAAACCGCCCTACATGCCGCCCACTGTGGAGTGGTCAGGTGAGTTGCGAATGCCCTCATTTTCCGTTGACTACTCATTTCCGTCGACCACTCATTCTTTCTGTGCATCACTCATCTTTTCTTGAGAAAAGAAGATGAAAACTGGTCAGGATGAAGTACTTGGACCTCCATGCTAACGAATTTACAGTCCAATTCCAAGATGAATCGAGGCTCATCGCCTCAGAGTACGTCGGAGGCCTCGGCCGGTATGCTCATCTCGATAAAAAGGCCGCCGTCGCCCCTCCGCCACGGCATCTAGGCCATCTAGAGCCGACCCTCCGGCACCAATCCCATCTACTCCCACACGCAAGAGCAAGCGGCCCAGACGCCTCCGTCTCACCGAGAACTCACCTCCTCCACCACCCACCACCACCACCGCCGCCGCCCCCAGCATACAGTCACCACCCATACTATCGCGAACCCCCTCCCCCGCGAGCAGGAGTCGGAGGAGGTCCCATCGAGTCATCATCATCATCATCAGCCTACCCGCGCCGCGAGAGCGAGTCCGCCTACCTCACGCCCCAAAACTCGGCTCACCCGGCGGCGGCACCTCACCACCCCTACAGCCTCCACGAGCACTTTGCCTCGTACCGCGACACCGCCGGCGGCATCCCCAACAGCCGCGCCCACGGCCACCACCGCGATAGCGACGCCTCGAGCGCGGCCTCCATCGTCCCGCAACCCACCGCCCCGCCCCCGAGCTACCGCAGCAGCGCCGCCGCCGCCGGGAACCCCCTGGCCGCAGACGGCATGATGACCCCTCCCCCGAGCGAAAAGGCCACCGCCGGCGAGAGGGAGTACCTTAACTCCCCCGAAGAGATCCTCTACATGCAAGTGTTCGTCGAAGAGGTCGGCGTCTGGATGGACTCGCTCGACAAGGAGAAACACTTCTCCCGTCTGATCCCCTACCACGCCCTCAAATCCCCCATGCTCCTCAACGCCTTCCTGGCCTGCGGCGTCAAGCACCTCACGCTCGTCAACCCGGCCTACGAGGACGACAAGGCCCTCTTCTACTACGACACCGCCACCACGCAGCTCCTCCGCAGCCTGCAGAACCCGGACCGCAACACGGGCGAGTGCGCCACCACGGCCGTCGTCCTCAACGTCTACGAAATCATGTCAGAGAAGCCCGCCCAGCGCATGAACCACATCGCCGGCGCCCGCGCCCTCATCCGCGAGTGTAAGTGGGACGCCCGGTCCTCCGGCATCGGCGCCGCGTGCTTCTGGCTCAACATCGGCATGGAGGTGCTCTCGTGCCTGGCCTTCAACTGGCAGACGTCGTGGGATCCGGACCAGTGGGGTCTAGACATGAACTTCACCAACGAGGGTTGCGGTCCAGCTGGTTCAGCGGCGGCGGCGGCGGCAGCTTCGAGATCCGGCGATGGCTTTGGACAGGAGGAGGTCTGGGTCCATCGGATCCTGTACATTGTGGCCAAGATTGCAAACTTCCGCGCCACGATCCCGCGGTTCCAGGAGCCGAGCCCGCACGACGAGCAGATTCGCCTGGGTAACCGACTTCAGCAGTGGCAGGATCTCAAGAAGCTCTGCGACAAGTGGAACAACACCTGCCCGAGGACGATGCATCCGTTCGGATACCTTTACCCATCGCAAACAAACTCCAAATCCGCCTTCCCCAACGTCTGGTAAGTACTCACTCTCTTTCTGTTCTCTCAAACCCCTGTCCCCCCCCCCCCCCTCTCGGCCCTTCTACTTGAACTGACAAAACATACAGGCTCATCAAACGCGCCGCCATAATCGGCCGCCTCTTCTACCATACAGCCCAATGCCTCCTCGCCCAAACGAACCCCATGGAACCAGGCCGTGCCTCGGAGGAAATGCGCGCCCTCCAGCTCCACCACGCCCACCAAGTCTGCGGCATCGTAGCCCACACAAAGGACCGCGGCGTCGCCTCCGTCGCCATCCGCTCCCTCGCCATCGCTTCCGCCGTCCTCACAGACCCGCGCGAGCAGGAAGAGGTCCTCGAGATCCTCGACAAGATCCACGCCGAGAGCGGGTGGCGCCTCGGCAGCATCCACGGCGAGCTCAAGAAGGCGTGGGGGTGGCCTTCGCCTGCGCCGTCGCACGCTTCTCTCGGTGGCGGTCCGCCGGGTAATGGTGCTGGTGCTGGTGCTGGTGCTCCTGGGGACCATCGAGGTTCTGTGGGAAGTTATGGTGGTGGGAGACCGGGCCCGCCGGGGAACCCGCCTGCCATGGCGACGTCAAGCGCGCCGTCGGCGTCGAGCGCTGCTGCGTCTGCGTCGATGAAGGCTCTTGTGAACCCGCTTTCGTATGCCGATTTTAGTTTGCCGAATGCCCCTTACAAAGACTGGTGGAAGCCACCGAATCGCCATGATTCGTACAGCTACCAGGGTTTCCCCTGATGACCTTTTCTTTCGCTTCTTTCTTACTCTTATTTCTTCCAGGTTGGCTTGTTTTTTTTTTTTTTTTCGTTTTTTCTTATTTTACTACTTTGTCCCAACCCGAGCCCTTCCAACGGAACCGTAAGAGAGAGGGTAGGGATGGATTCATATATATAATATTCTTCAAGAAAACAGGAGGCGGATATTTGCTCTCCAGACGTTTCAACATCGTGGATTTACCGAAAACTCAAAAGAGGGCTGGCACTGGTTTGCTAACCCAACCACCTTACGATTACGACTCCCTTTTATCCTCTTCACTTTTTTTCTGGTCTTTCTTCTCTTCTACTGCATCATTCTGTTATACAAAGGCTACAACTGGGAGAGGAGGACATCACGGCTTTACAGGACGGGCCGGCAAAGCATTGCGTCAGATGAAAGGGGTCTATTGGACCGCGGACCCGTTTGGAGGAACTGCAAATGGACAATGGGACATGTGGGCGTTCCGGCACTTCACAGAGATAAGGGGGGGAAAGATGGTTCTTTGCTGAGACACGCTCCAGCACTTGAGAGGCTCCAATGGTTGGGAGACCCCAGATTGCTCTGCAAAGGGCACCGATACCATGAGATATTTACTATTATCCTATCTTGGGCACATTACTCTTGCTCCTTTGTTTACTCGCCTTTCGGTTCATCACACACACAAATTACTCTAGGTTTAAGGAACTGTCTTTGATCGTTGTCTGCATTATCTGGTATCTTGTTTTATTCGCATGGGAAAGGGAATGTTGGGGTTTGTGTCTAACGCGGGAGGGAATCTATCGCAATGCCAATGCTCAAAAAGCAAATGTCAAGCGCTCAGTGTCTTGACACCGAGAACTTTCTATGGAAAAAAGTTGATTTTCCTTCCCTTTCCAGACTCATCTTCTAATGACGTGCCCAAAATCCATTGACCCATTCGTCCAATCGTCGTAAAATCCGTTTGTCCCATCTATCGCCGTTTCTTCGTGAAAATTGCTCAACAAAGAGAAAAGAAGACAAGAAAACTCAAAGTCTGCAAGGCTAAGCTAGGAAGTATGCCAGCCACACATGCCAAAAATTTCCTGATTGCCGAAAGTAGTGCATTAAGCAGAGCCGTTGGTGTTGGTGACGACGCTGCCGCTGACGTTCTCCTTCATGAAGGGCTCGTTGTCAACCTCAATGGAAGGGATGGCCATGCCAAACTTCTCATAGGGGAAGTTCTCGAGAGTGGGCAGGTACTCGGCCCAGCCATCGTCAATCTCGCCGACCTGGTGCATGTCGACCTGGCCAGCCTCACCCGTGCGGCCAGCGAGGACCTCCTTCTCGCGGCCGGCGTACTCATTGAGGAGCATCTTGTGGGGGCACCAGATGACACGCATACCGGCGCGGCGACCAGCCTCGACACCGGGAACAGAGTCCTCGAAGACAAGGCACTCCTCGGGGGTGATGGGCTTCTCACCCTCGGGAAGAGACTCGTTGATGGTCTTGAGGGCCAGGAGGAAGATGTCGGGGTTGGGCTTGCCGCGGCCGGGGGCAATGCGGGTGTCGTCGCCCAGGACACGGCGCTGGGAGGGGAAGACAGAGAATAGCTCAGTCAGGTGGTCAGACTTGAGCTTGAAGTTGGCCTCGTGGGAAGAGGTGGCCAGGGCAATGTGAACGCGCTGGGCGGTCTTGCCGTCCGCAGTCTCGGGCTTGTGGTCGAAGTAGCGGGTGCGGCCGAGGTTCTGGAGGAGCTGAGGAATGCCGGGGAGAGGCTTGGTGGAGGGGAAGATCTGGCGCTGGAGAGCGGACAGCTTCTGGTGGTACTCCTCATGGGTAATGGGGAGCTGAGCCCACTCGTGGAAGATGCGAGTGGCATCGGGACCAGGGCGACCCTGAAGCTTGGCCTTGATGTTCCAAGGAAGGAGAGGGCGGCCGTACTGCTCGAGAACGATGTTGATGCAGGCGGTGTAGAGGTCTTCGGTGTCGAGGAGGAGGCCGTCCATGTCGAACAGGCAGGCCCGGACGGGAGGGAAGCTAGGTAAGTTGAGGTCAGTCAATTGGTTCATTGGCGGTCTCAAGGCGAGAGAAGACTTACTCGGTGCGAGGAGCCATTGCGACGGTAGGCAAGTTGTGACGGCGATGTGATGGATGTGAAGTGCGAAGGTAAGAGGAAGAAGAGGTAGCAACTGATTGTCTTCGAGACGAGTGTCGAAGGAGGAGTGATTGAGGGTGGAAGAGGAAAAGGTGGAAGAGGCCTGAAGAAAAGAGAAATGAATCTCCAGTTGGGGTATCGCGAGGGAAAGTTTGTGGAGGTGAAGAAAAGGCGGAGGATTTTTTTTTTTCTTTTTTTACCAGCAACCCAAAAAGAGGCCTTTTTGATCCTCTCTTGGAAGGACCTGAGTCAACAAAGTGAATCTGAGGGACGGAAGGAACAATGGACAGGAAGCCAAAGGCCAAACGGGCAAAACGGGCAGGGGCGTTCAGGAACAACGGCGGGGTGAAAACGGAAGCGGAAGGCACCGATGGAGGGGTCGCTCAGCTCTTTCCCGAATAAAATGGCGACCAGACGGGGAAGTGGGGGTTCCCATGTATCCTTGTACACTGTACTTGTGCCTTAGGTAATGCCCTTCATCACACTGTACGAAGTAGAAGTAGTCAGGCAACATGTACTCGAGTCACTGTATCTAATACAAAGGAAAGTCAAATATCTCCAAGATACTCTATGATTGAAATACTTCAACATTATGTTTTCTTTGGGCTAACTATGATCCTCATGTAGACAGCCTTGATTCTACTAAATGCACCTCAAACCTACGATCAATAGTATAGCCATGGAAGTGACACAGTTCTGGCGATGGCGCATACTGTACACCCTTTCATGGTGAATCGATTGGATCTCAGCGACACCAGCCGCCGAAAGACCCCTAAAGCGCTGTATCCGCCAGGTTCCTTCAGCGAATTGGGTGAGCAAATGTGGCTTCCGCCGCCCAAAAACATGTGAACAGCCTCAACGTTCCACCCCACCAAATCCACGTGGGGACGAGACACCTCAGTGACGACATTCTTCGGGCTGCCTTGCCTACAACCTCCTTGACTCAGCTTGCGATACACTCTCAACGTCAAACAAGTCTACAACAAGTCACTGCTACCTTTCAAGATGGCGTCCAAGGAAACAGAGAAGGACCCCCAGGGCAATGGCAAGGACAAGTCAGTCAAGGATGAGCCTGAAGAGGTCCAAGAGAAGTTCTCGCCTGAAGAGGAGGCGGTAAGCTGCAAATTGTTCCCTTCATCTCTTCTCTGCTCCTCCTACATAAATATAATTACATGGTTGAGTATCCAAGTGAGAACTGCCTGAATCAATGTCGGCATTTGCCATATTCCTCACAATATTGGCTTCACGACCTCGTGCGAGTTAATCCACCACACCAAAAAGCCCCTTCACATCTCATGTGAGAAACAACCAATCTCTAACTTGTCCGCAGTCCCTCCTGTTCGAAGCAAACACCCACAAAACCGAAGCAAACGCCCTCTTCACCTCCTCGCAATACACCGACGCCATCGCCAAGTACGATGAAGCCGTCTCCGTCTGCCCAAACTACCTAGACTACGACCTCGCCGTCCTGCGCTCAAACATCTCCGCCTGCCACCTGAAGTTAGACCAATGGAAAGACGCAATCTCCTCCGCTTCCGCCGCGCTCGACGGCCTAGACCGCATCGACAAGGAATCCGCCCTCGAGCAGGAACGTCGCGAGAAGCTCAAGGCCGAAGAGGAAGAGGGCGTGGAAGAGGAGATTGTAAGCTCGGGTGCTAGCGCCGCTGCCCCTGCGCCGGTGACGACCGCAGATGATGCAGAGGAAGTTGCGCGTAGGAAGAGGGCGGACGATGTCCTGCGCATCAGAGCTAAAGCTCTCATGCGGAGGGCGAGGGCGAGGAGCGAAGAGGGCGGGTGGCAGAATCTCGCGGGCGCGGAGGAGGATTACAAGGCGCTGGCCAAGATGGGGAACCTCGCGGCTGCGGATCGCAAGATTGTGCAGACGCAGTTGAGGGTGTTGCCGCCGAGGACGAAGGCTGCACAGGAGGCGGAGACGGCGGAGATGTGGGGAAAGCTGAAGGATGTGAGTTTTCTGCACAACAAGTGATGTAAGATGTATTTTGAGTGTGTTGTGATGGCTAACGTATGACTATAGCTGGGCAACGGCATTTTGAAGCCGTTTGGACTGAGTACGGATAACTTCCAGATGGTCAAGGATGAGAAGACGGGAGGATATTCGATGAACTTCAACCAGGGTCAATGAGCCTAGACAAAAGTCACCACGGGTTAAACAACGGCATCATTTTTGTGTAGGCATGGAAGAAGCGATGGCATCATAGAAACGCAAAGCCGTAAACACAGCTCGTTCAAGCTAATACACTAATTCCTCGTCCAAGGTTCTTTACGAACAATTACTATCTGTTATTACCACAGCTTTGAATCGCTCATGTCCGCAAGAGTGTCTGTCAAAAGGATATCATTCATGTGCCCATGGTATAACAGTAAGCACAAGCAGCCAAAGTGGCTCTTGGTGGTATTAATGCATTAATTCACGTTATTCATAGAGGTATTTTTCCAAAATCCCAATATCCTTCCTTTCCTCCCTCATTCCTTCATTTGGCCCACCATCCATAATAAACCAAAACAATAACCAATTTCCGGTCAATTAGGTGTAGATACTCTCGGTAATCTGGTTCACCTGAAGCCCCTTCTCCGCCATCTCTGCGTCGCGCAAAAAGTCGAGCGGGAACCAGACGAGGTGGCCCTTGATCTGGTCAATCTTTTGCCGCGCGTCCGCCGCCGGCATGAACTGGTCGAAAATGTGGCCTGCTTTAACGCCCTTTGGCGGCAAGTATCTGTCGTAGTCATCAAAGGTTTTGACTAAAGGGAATGATGTCAGTGGAAACGCAATCTACTAAAAAGGGGACAGCCGGAAAACTTACTGTGGTCATCAGGATCAGCGTGGAACAGGTGACGGTATAGATCCGTGTTCCGCGTAGCGTTACCCGTCCACATCTCCCACAGCTCGTCGTTCATCGGATCCTCGACAAACTTCCACGTCTCGTCGCGGTCCCACGGGTCATTCTCCGCGTGGCCCGGCGGACGCGCGTTGGGGTCCTGGGACCCGTCCAGATCCTGCGCGGGCAGGAGGCCGAGGTGCTCGCGCCACAGGTACCGGCGCAGCGACGTCGCGTGCCACCCGGCCTCGTAGGGCTTCCCGTCCATGGTGCTCGGTACGCGCTTCGTGTCCTCCATGACGATGCTGAGCTCGCTGTCGTGGTAGCCCAGCTGGCTGCGGTCGTTGAGGTTGCTGGAGCCGCAGACGACGATGCGGTCATCGACGATGAGCAGCTTGGAGTGGATGTAGAGCTCCTCCTGGATCCAGTTGCGGATCTCCGTCTCCGGGTCGTCGTCCTCCCACGGCTCGTCCTCGATGGATCCGGAGTTGGCCATGGCGTGCTGCGCGACCGAAGTCTTGTTGCTGAGCTGCGCGTCGCCGAGGCTGGCTTCGAAGCGTTGCTTGGCGTCGATGGCGTTTTGGGCCTCGGTGGTCTTGCCACCGCCGACTTGCTCGGCCTTGGCGCCCATGTGCTCGTCGCGCTCCTTCTCGGTGGGGTCGTTGATGCCGTGGATTCCCGTGCCCATGACCTCTTCGGCTTGCGCGCGCTGCACTTCGGCGTACTTAACGCCCGTGTCCTTTTCTCTCTTCTCAACGGCGGATGTGCGGTTGAGACGGTCATATGACCGCAGGTTGAAGAAGAAGATGTGGTTTCTGGGATCGATGCCCTCCTTCTTGACCTGCTCAAAGATGGAGTGCTCGCCGCGGCAGATTGACTTGTATTGATAGTCCATGATGGCACGGGTGCCTGTGGCCGCATCATCTCGGAGGTCGCCGGCGAAACCGGGAATGGCGGGGATGAGGACGATGACGCGGAACTTGCGGCCCTCCTTGCCGGCCCTCACAACGGCGTCGACAATGGCACGACCGATCCGGTTGTGAATCGGTGCCTGCTGGTCGCCAGTGGCGGTGATGAAGAACTGGTTCTCAATATAGACAAAGTGCTCGGCCTTGCTAATGATCTCACAGTAAGCGTTCTGGATCGAGTGGTCGGTCAGAATACCACTGGACCAGTCGGCGCTGGACCGCACGATTTGGGCATGCATGGATCCCTTGTTCTCCAAGTTCGATAGACTTCGCTCGTCGAGAGGGTGGGTGAGGTACTCTCCGACAGGGTGCTTAGGCCGTTGGACTCCCACGAGGTCCTCATCTTCGGCCAGACGGCCGCGCAGCTGAATCCAGTCGAAGCGGTCGTCGCGCTTGTACTTGTCGCGCTTCACAAAGTTCCAGCGCAGGACAAAGTGCTCGGCAATATCGTAGACGCAGGGGCCGACGACACCCATGGATACGTCGTGCCAGGGCATGCGCCCATACTCGGCCTTGCTCAACTCGTTCTGCTTCCAATCCTGGACGTTTTGGAAATCCATGATTCTGTTGTTGTTGAAGTCCTGTCCAGGCCAGACCTCGTTCTGGACGCCCTCGGGATGCGCGTCAGCGAGAGGGTGGGTGTGACTATCCCAGCGACCGAAGCACAGATCGAGACCTCCGATGAAGGCCATGGCGTAGTCAATGACGATGAACTTTTCATGATGGGCCCAGTAAAAGGTCATGTCGGCGCCGTTGGACAGCACATTATGGTCGGGGTGGCGCATAATCTTGATGTTGCCGTAACCAGGCGAGCCCTCGGGGCACAGAGCCTGCAGGGCATGCTTTGTGTGGGCAGAGTTGCACGTCAAGGCGGCTTCGACTTCGCGGTAGACGATGATGTGAATCTGAACACCGGCCTCGGCGCGGCGCTTCAGTATCTGGTCCAGCCTCCATTCTTTGTTGTGATGAGGAGGGCGGCGCAGGAACAGCTCGGGGGACAACCACCAATCGCAAATGTAGATGGTCTCCTTTGCGGCCTCAAGAGCCTCGGAGACGGCCCAGAAGTAGTCGCGACCATCGACGTACCACTTGATCAGGTTGCCGTCGCGCTCCGGGAAGAAGGACTTGAAGCGGTGCTCCTCCCCAATCTTTGTCCGCTTGTCGTCGGTGGCCTTTTCGTGCTCCTCGTCGTGACGGTGGTTGGCGTTGAACTGGGGCGCATGTTAGTTGTGCTGGTCGTTCGAGGCAGGTTTCCCATGCGGAATGAGCTTCAATGGGAAGGGAAAAGATGGTCTTACAAGGTTGGCCAGCTTGCCAATCTGGTGCTTCTTGTGCACGAGGTGAACTTTGGCATCATGAAGATGGGTGCCCTCAAGCTTGTCCTCCAGCTCGCGGAATGGCTTCTTCAGCTTATCCATGAAGCCGCCGCTACCGCTTTCCTCCTTCTTGTGACCATGGTCGCTTGTGGTCATCAGCCCCATGATTACGATTGGGTGCCTTGGGCGTCGAACAAAGGGGGTATTCGAATGGAATGATGTGCGCAAGCTCTCAAAGTTGGTATCTCTAGGTCATGAGGTCGTGGGGAACAGAATGGGAAGTTGACGTCGAAGTTAATGGGTGTGGCTGGGGTGGAGGGGTATCATAAGATGCGCGGGGTACACTGAATGGCGGGGTGAACAAGTTGAAGCATTCCAGCCCAAGCATGCAGCACTCGGATGGGGAAAGGTCAGTGGAAAGTGTTAAGCTTCGTGTAGCTTGGACTTGTAGATGTGTAAATAGGTTCAGGAGTAGGGAGAAGAGAAGACGAGACGGAGGAAGAGAAGGAGAATGACAATGGAGGGACGGCGTGTGGGATTGGGAAAGTAGTAAAGCTTGGAGGGAAAGCTTGAAATTAGAAACTCTGGGCTATGTCATTCCCGTCACTCGTGCGCCGGCGGGAGGACTAGGTAATCAAGCAGGTTAATTGGGGGCGAGGGATCGAGAGTAGTTCGGCCGGAAGCAGGATCCAAGGCCAAGGAAAACGAAGAGGAAAATGGAACCGAAGGCAAAGGAGACTCTCACTCGCGCACTTTGGGAGAAAAGTGTGGGCGCAAACGCCGGGACGACGGGGGGGAACGACACACACACGACGATTGTTGGTGGTGAGACACCCCAAGACTAAGAATAGGTACTTTTGAATAGTACAGGATTTGTATGCAAGAGCAAGTACCTGCCACCCACCTCGGTTTCGGCCCTGCGCAAACAGGCACGCAGCCATACCTACCTTACGAAGTACTGCAGCCACGGATAATTACAGTCGCACCCGATTTCAAGGCGGGGCAAATGTGACGATCCGCTGGGTCGAACGACTTGAGTCTTGGACGACACTCATCCATGCCTCGCAGCTTGTGTCTGTGATGATCCGGATGCAAGAATCCAGCCCCTGTCTGCCCGTCAGGGACAGCATCAAATCCAGCCAAGCTCCCACCCTCCATCTGCCAGCCTCTGAGAGAAAACGATCCCGAGGCCCAAGGGGAGCATGTCTTGGGACCAGCAGACGAGCATGCAATGCCACGCGTCTTGCGCCTCCTCTTTCAGCCGTTGGGACCACAGCTTGGAAGGCTGGGAAGAGTCCGCAGCTGAACTCAATTTGAGAGGCTCCATTGCTCAGCTTAGCAAGGGCTCGCGTGCCCCTGGATGATGGGGTCATATCACAGTCAAGAGACTCAAGACAGACACTTAAAACACCAAACCAACCTCGCACTTCTTCTCTGACAATAGCAGTGGGAATTGGAATCATCTGGTGAGCTGAAAGCTGCAGAAACAAAAACGTAAAAGAAAGGAACGGGTGCCCCGCGCTCGGTGCGCCGGTCACAGGGAAGGTCCCGTCCGTTTTGGCGGTTTGAATTGGTCAATGGAACGCCGTCATTGGGTTCTTGCTCCAGAGGTGGGGCCTGCTACTCTATTTTTCGTCTTGACGTCATGTCCAGCACGTCAGTCACGCTACGTACCTACCTTATCTCTCTGATAAGATTGATTTAGCGCACTTTATCGATAAGGTCCAGCCCGCCCATCCCGTCGAAAGCCGCATCTTCTGCCCTGTTGTGCACTGCGACATGCACACCTACCTTACCTTATGTTGAAGCTCCTTCCAATTCTCGAATCCTGGTTGCACGACAGCCCGGTAAGATGCATAGGGCGGAATATAGCATCGCCATACGTGTGCCGAACTCCGGCTTGTCCTTGTCATGGCGCCATTGCGAGCCCGTCGCCGCCGCCTGTCGCAAGTTTGCACTGGTCTGGACTGGTACCGAGTGGAAGGGTGGAAACCTGAATTTTGGCGTTTCTAGATCTTTGGTGGACGGTGGTCGTGACGTCACGGCATCGGCAGATCTTACTGCCATTGACCTTCGGACATACTTGCCCAACTATTGTAGGCCTGGAAGACGAAGGTCTAGAGTCAATTGAACTTTCTTAAGGATCTGGTGTCGTGAATTTTGAGTTTTGAGTTGGGGCTGGCGTAGCTTTAAATTACCTTGCGAGGTGAAGTGCTACGCATCAAGGCTTCGTGAGCGAGCCTATAAGACTTTGTTTACTGTAATCACTCTCTCGGCGTGATTCAATCATGGGAGTGTCACTTTGCTCACTAATCAAGATGTCGAGGCCGATAAGTTAGTCGTTAGATGGTTCAATCGCTGAGTCCCATACTCTTTAACGTACTACAAAATCACCATAATTCATCGCAAGCATCGTCCCGTTGATGTAGTTGTTAATTCTCAGGAGATCCGTAACAGGCACGCTCGCCCAAAGTTGCTAGAGGCTTGGCATCAGATCTGCGAAATCCGATCATGTACATCATCAGTGTTCTTCGATCTACCTCAAGACAAGGCTAGGTCCTGTCTTCCCACGTGTATCTAATCATGCGCCCGCGCCACCGTTCAACGTCTTGTCTTGAATAAGCAGAGCTTCAACGTCTGAAATGCGCCCTCGTTGTCTTGATCCAAATTCCAAGGTAAGACAACCATGGCAAGACAACCGTCCATCATTCCCGCTTCTCGACCTTTTCGGCCGTCAGTGAAACACCAACGCCCGAATATCTATACTCTGCCGACACTCCATCTCATCCATCTCCGCGTCGCGGAAAGCACAATGCGCAGCCCTCCGAACAACTGACGTATCCGAATCAAAACACTTGATAAACAACGCCTCGTCCGGCCTCTGCCCGTCCAAGAAGTACCATCGGTGCGCCGGATTTGGCTTAATCGTCCACGTCTCGGCCCGGTGACGGGGGTAAATAATCGCCCCCGGGACAAGGTCCTCCTCCGCAACCGTGGTCCCATCCGCGACGGCCAGCGGGTCCCGCCGTACCGTCGCGATGGGCCGCCAGATGTTGATAATCTGGAAGCGGCGTTTCTCCTTGTCGAGGAGTCTCTCGGCCTCATCCGCGCCGAGGTGATGCCTCGCCATCATGATGGCGCCGTCGTAGGACTGGTCCACGTGCGCCTTGTGCAAGGGGCCGCGGTGCTCCGTGTTGCGTTCGCCTAGGCTGTGCCAGTTTGCCGGCCCGCGGCGGATCTGGTGGTTGAAGATGACGACCCGGCTTGCTCCCGTGCTGGTGGTGGTATTTGAACCCTGGTGAGCATGGGCCCTCTAATTGTGAATGCTGGCCGCGGCCCCCACTGCTGTATATAATAACCCTTACACCGCCCAAAACCCGCCCACTTTGCGGCTGGCTTGGATAAATGAAAACGTGCAAGACTTACATTTCCTTGTAAAGTTTCTCCATCTCGGGGTAGTAGACGCCCTTGACCCGTTCTTCGTCTGTAAAGTCCGTCTCGACGCTGGTGTGGCGGACGTACTGAAAGCCGTGGGTGTCGAGCGTGTACTTGCCCTCATCGCCTCTGATGTCCGTGACAGTGACGGTGCGAGGAGTCATTTTTCTCTCATTTGTGACTTTTTGACTGGGATTGAATAACAGACATGAGTATGTTGAGCCATTGACACGGTACTCGAGAATCGGGAACTTTTGAAGACATAGTTACTGAAAAGCGGCCTTACCCCCCTACAACGATTGGGGTGGGAGGGGTTCCATCTCCAGGGTCGTCATAGTAGTTTATGGTGGTGACGACTGCACGTCTCTCCGATCTCTCGGATTCTGTGGACTTGATCTCTGCCGTGTCCGGCAGAGGCTGGTGCTGTGTTGTTCCCACGGCCATGATTGTGCTGTTAGTGCTGTGGCTGATGTCGTCTTTGTCTCACGGAAATCCAGTCTCGAGGTGGCTGTGATGAGTTTGTAGTTCTGAATCGTCCCGCTCTGTATTGTCTGTGATGTACTTGGATATGTCCAGATATGTACGAAGATGACTTATACGACAAAGTGTGAGCAAGTAGCGAGAAATGGACTAAGGCACTGAAGGCAAGGTAGAATATCAGATGAAGCCAACGTAAATACAGGGAGCATCTCAAGATGAGAAACACAGTGGTCCCTCATCTGCGAACTGGAAGCTTGCGAGGGGAGTCCCTGGCAGCCGCCGGCACGGCAGAGGGAAGAGGGCCGACTGGACGGAGCTCCGCATCCTCCTTTTTCCGCGACCCCGCGATGGACGGTGCCCAATGCGCCCATGCACTGTCAGTTCTGCACGTGATTGGGGTTGAATGGGAATGAGGGGTAATCATCATTCGCACTGTACCGACGTATCAGAAACGAGCACCCGGTCAAGTGGATCCACTGACCCCGCTGTGACAGCTCGGGTTTAGCGCGTTGGATCTCCAATGGGCGGTCCAGGTCCCCAGGTGGTGGGGTTTCCAGGGAGAGGTCCCCGCCATGGCCCATGAGAAGCTCCTGCTGGCTGCTGCTGCAATGCTGCTACGGAGTACTGCTGCTGCGTATGCGTGGCTTCCCAGGGGCCATTTGCTTGACCGCCCCTCGATTCCCGTCCTGTCCCTTTTTTTGGGTTTCGCTTCTCGTCTGAACAGCTCCTGGAACATCTGCTCTTTACCTAACTACATCTCCTCTCTTCCTTCTACGCTTTCTAATCTCCTGTTCTTCTTTCTCTCTCTCATCAAATACATCTTTCAAACACATTAACAACCCACCCCAAAATCAGACACCATGGCCGCTCAGATCCCCCCCGGAGGAACCTACCTCGACACCTTCAAGAAGTCCTTTGTCGATGTCAAGCCTGACGCCGACAAGGAGAATGCCATCCCTACCTCCGACTTCCTCGATGCCTCTGAGTCTCTGACCACCATCTTCGGTATGTTCCCCCAGCACGGCTGCTCTCTCTCAATACCAGAGGAGACTCCGAGCCTTTGACGGTTTCATGTCACTAACGAACATCCCCTCTTCTAGATGCCCTTGGAGGCGTTGCTTTCGGTCCCGTCAAGAGCGACATGGGCGGCAACATCAAGGTACGACATGACTCCTCTCGATACCCCCGCCATTTTATACCACATGTCCCGAATCAGACCTTGTCACGAAGCTCGGATGCCATCCTACAGCTCCTACAACTACATCCAAAAGACGTCAACGAACAATGACTGACTTGTTCTCCTTGTACAGAAAATCCGCGAGCGCCAGCTGGCTGCTCCCGGCGAGTCCGCCACCCTTCAGGAGCTCGTCAAGGCCGAGCTGGCCACCAAGAAGCACGTTGCCACCGAGGGTCTCCTCTGGCTGGTTCGGTAAGTCTGCCCCTGAGCTCCCCTTATCACCGACAACACGGCCAACGAAACTGACAATGCCATTCTCCCAGTGGCCTCGAGTTCACCTGCATCGCCCTGAGCCAGAACGTCGCCAAGGAGTCCGAGGAGCTCTCTGAGTCCTTCCGCAACGCCTACGCCACCACCCTCAAGCCCCACCACAGCTTCCTCGTCAAGCCCATCTTCAGCGCCGCCATGAGCGCCTGCCCCTACCGCAAGGACTTTTACGCCAAGCTCGGCTCCGACCAGGACAAGGTCGCCGCTGAGCTCCGTGTCTACCTCGCCTCCCTCGAGAAGATTGTCGGCATCCTCAAGGGCTTCCTCGCCAGCAAGGATGCCAAGTGGTAAGCGCAAACAATGCTCTTGTGTGCGCTGACCTCAAAGAATCAAAGGCCCCCCAAGAAAGCGGGGACCTCAAAGAAAGAGAAATAAAAAACGAACAATGACGATATGATGGAAAGAACAACATGTCCGTGTCAGTGTCCGCTGCGATGCTAGTACATCGTCAGCCACGAGCCAGTTTACGCAGCCTAGAAATGAATCACAACCTCGAAGCTTGAACCAAATCCCTTTCTTTGAGCTCTATGCAATTCAACAATGACGAGCTAACACAATTTGTCTTTGACACTTTTGAACTCTCCTGGAGCCGTAATACAGAATGTCGAGAGTCATGAGATGACCTTCGTATTTAATAGGGCTTGTCAGCACACTCATGGACATTGGATTCGCAAAACAGATACATAACAGATGCCACCCACACAACGTTAACAATCATAGATCGCATCCATCAACATATTCGATTTTGTCTACTAAAGCAGAATCTTATTCTTCAGACATACCGCAATATGTCTTTTCCAGACCCAGTCATCGAGCAGAGTAAGTTCCGGATTAACTTGCCGGCAGAGCTGTACCTGGAAATAGCTCAATGGCTCGGCGAGTTTCAGGCCGAGACCGAGAGGCGAGAGTATGTAATACCAACATACAGATCAGCTAACGAAGACGATGTCAAGAACGAAATCGTCAGGGACTTGAGGGACGTAAGAGTTACAGAAACCATCGTAATGGCGGTCAAGGAAATGCTCCCCACGATGGCCATGCTCAACGCGGGCATGGTGAACAAATACTACCATAAAGCCATCAACGACATTGCTCTCCGGTGGGACGCCCGGAGCGAAAACCCCAGAGCCGTCTACCACGCTGCTGTGCACAACCACATTGATCTCCTCCGCCAGGCCCTCGAGAAGCCCGGGGCCAAACCGGACTACGTACCACACGGCCTACTAACGTCTTTATGGACACCACTTATGGTGGCTGCGGCTAAAGGCTATGCTCAAGTCGTGGACCTGCTTCTGCACAAGGGGGCTAATCCAGCACTAAGCTTTGCCGACCGTCGTCCACCATGGCGGAAACCGCGTCCATTTGCTGCAAGCTCAGAGTCAGGCATGTGCCTGTATGAGTATGAAAGAGACCTTTTTCGGCAAACCTCGCCCCTCCATGCCGCCATGTTGGCTCCCAAGAACGCGTTGACCATTTCCAAAACTATTCTCAGGTCTCTTCCACCACGCTTCTTGACCAAGATTTCCGATCCGCGTGGACTCTTTCTTGCTATTGCTCTTGCTCAAGATCACGTCGGCTTGGTGGAAATGTTGATCAATCGAGGCGCAGACTTTGACCATGGAGGCAAAACTAGCTTCCCGATGAATATCCCGGTACTTCATCACGCCGTCTCTGGCGATATGGTTCGCAAGCTGACCCTAGCAGGTGCGCCGCTACACACACCTGTCGAGTTCGGCATCAATGCTCTGCATGCTGTCTGTCTCCGTCAGACAGATTGCTCTTCTGCAATAAGAGAGCTCGTCCGACAGGGCGTTAAGTTGGAAGAGACCACGACTAGTATAGACCCACGACCACCTCTGAACCCTGAACAGGGACCTCGCCGGAAGATCCCTCAGACAGCTCTCAATCTCGCATGTAGGCAGCTCAACGTCGCTCACATCCGCACGCTGCTCGAATTAGGCGCTCACCCACTTGGGGCATGTCTTGAGGAGAGCCCTAGGAAGAAGATGAAGGGCAGTAAGTTCGTGGAGGATAGCGAGCTCTTCAAGGTGACGCCTCTTCACGATTTGTTACTACCCGATTACTTTGCCCTGGAAGAACACTACAAGAGCAATGAGGAAATAGCATGCGCCATAAAAGCGGCTTTCAATCTGATGATCAGCCACCCTCTGGCTGCCGAAGCAGTATCGTCTTACGGGAACTTTGCCCTTGGGTGGCCAGGCATCAATCTCATGGTCAGGATTTTAAGATCATTTTGGATGAGTGGCTCCATTGTTCACACAGGAGACTTTGGTAGATACACCCCGCTGCAGCTTTTCTTCGTTCATCCTTTCTCGGACGATCCCGAGATTCCACAGGCCATGTTCGACTTGGTACCAGATGGTAGGGATCAGATCAACACCATCATAAAGCCGCTCTACATCACGCCGCTCTTGGCTCTTCTAGGCCACCGCTTCAACCATTCTCTCGGCGACGCAAACTTTTACCGGCCAAAACTGCTCAAGTGGCTTCTGGAACACGGCGCCGACCCGAACTTGTGCGACAGGGAAGGCGTCTCGCCCCTCCACTATGCAGTGTTCTGGCTCGATGCTCCGGCCGTCGAGCTTCTCCTCTTACACGGCGCCCGAGTCAAGCGCGAGGACGAACTCCAGGTCATGAACGTCCTGTTCGGTGGCGTCTTCACCAAGTCACATCAAGAACAAGCACAAGGACATCGCGCCCCCCGGAAAAGCGAGTGGACGCGAATGGTGGAGCAAATCGACATAGACGTATCGTCGATGCACGGCATCGCCGGCAACATTGAACACTGGCAGCCCGGCACGCCACTGCCCGCATGTACGCTCTTCAACTTCGAGGCTAAGTCTCCATTTAAAATGTATGGAAAGGTGCCCTTGCCTTCAGAGCTCGTGACGCGGTGGGGAGGGTTACGTGAGGCTCTGAGGGGGGATGCCGACGAGCGTAGGAAGCGGATATTTGCGGCGCTGCTGCCGACGCCAAACGTGCTGCCCTTTTTGAAGCCCAGGGGGATTATGGAACGTGATAGTGAGTTGAACCCTGGCGAGGACGGGTCCGATCCTGACACGATCCGGTACAGTGTTTTGGACTGGGCGATGGCGACGGCCCAGGATGATTGGTTTCTGGAAAAGATTAAGCGGCTTGGAGGAGAGACTGGAGATCACC